AGAAAACCCTAAAATTGAAAATTATAGTTTATCACATAAACAAACAGTCACATTACAGATCTCTTTGTTCAGCTGAAAATGAGGATTTGGAGGAGAAAGGCAGCAGGTCTATGATTCAGTCTTCTGCATAAATTTTGGAGCACATGAGGAATCAAGATGATATTTATGCTCGACTTTTTGGCCCCGATCACGATGAATTGACAGTTCCTGAACTGAGCAGTCACTCTAACAGGCACGATGATACGGATGAAGATTCAGTGGTGGCTTCGAGATGAAGATTCAGCAATGGTTTACACTGAAGAGCGTATAGATTGAGGTACACAGGTCAATACGAAATTTGCTTTGAATTAACCGTTTGAATTGATTGAATCGTTTATGTCTATGAGTTCTTCATTGGAGGTAGAGATATATAATATATGGACTGTAATCGAATGAATATTAAAAAAATATATATATCTTGCTAACTTGTTTAGAATAATTATTGGTTAAGAATGATCTAGTACTGCACTTAGTGTGTACATGCTTGAACAATTAAATTTTGATTAGGTTTGAAACTTTAAATATCAATGGAATTTAAAAAATTATGATATTTTGTTTTTAGTATATATATGTGACAAAAATACAATAAGATAAATTAAATAAAATGCACTTATAAACGAACATTTATTTTTTGGTATGATTTCAAAAATTATTATTTACGGTCCTTTTGTCTATTTGTAAAGCAAATATTTACTTTTTGTATGAAATTTATTCCTATAATGTAATGATAATTGTAATGTGTAGTGAGGTCTATACACACTAAATATATATATATATATATTGTGTTTGAACAACAAAGAATGGCAAAATATATACTTAGCAAGTGGACGGGTGCACTAATATTAATTATTTAATCGTCTTTCTGTCACATATGTATATATTTTTCTTTATTGTTTCGTATGATGTTTAGTGTATATAGATCATGCATGTAGGGTGTATTTGATTTTAATTTCAAACTAAAAATAATATTATTTACCTTCACACGTTTCCACTAAAAATATACTATTTCATTGCACAAAATATTATTCAAATAAAAACTCAAATTAACTTTTATTTTAAATTAACTTCAAACACTAATTATACAAATTCATATATTTTGCATAAATAATAATTATTTTATCATATTTGTAATATATATACATATATTTTGATCATTATATTATATTTCATCCTAATTAAACTCTAAACGAAAAATTATATTCATTAATTTATTTTCAACCATAGAACATACTATTCAATATATAATAAAATACTGATAATTTTACTTTTAGAAATCAATAGTAATTTTTATAAATTAGCTAGCCAAACTCGCAAGCTCATAAGTTAGGTTGAGCCATCGAAGCCCATCAATGATAAATTATGGTGAATTTAGTTGATTGGTCATTAGTGATTGGGTCAATGTGATTGTTGTAACACATTATATATATGTTTCTATTTAGATGTATATGTTACATATATTGACCGAGTAAAATTAACATTATGTTATTTTGAGTCAATCAACATAGAATCCACATTCGTGTTACCTATATATATATTTAATAAAATCTTAACTAGATTTTATTTTCATATTTAGTACGTTGTGTTTGAATGCAAAATGGATGTTTAATAACACACTATATATTATTTTACATTTCTTTTTATAAAGAGAAACTGTTTTTTTTTTAGTCCTCTTTTTATAATTTTAGTTTCGCAGCAGAAGTATGTATAGAAATCGTTCCATAAGAAATTTTTTACATAATTGGTCATCCGATGCCAGAGATATGTACGTGACACATGTCTGACATGCTAGGGCACACATATTCGCCAAGTAGGCGCCACCCGGATGACACATGATTTTGTTTAGTTTTGTAACTGGCTTCATTATCATTTTAGTCGTGTAAGTGGTATTTTTTCGTCTGCTCGACGGACACGTGTGCTTCGACGTATCATGTGCGTATATCAAGGTTGGAGGACTAATTGTGCAAAAAAAAATTCACTTGTGGGACGATTTCTATACAAATTCTAGTAACAAAACTAAAATAATAAGAGTCAGTTACGGGACAAAAAAAAAAATAGTTTTCTCTTTTATAAATATTTGAATAATCAACTCCACGCCAATCTTTATTCGTAACTTGTTGGAGGGATGTTTCTTATAGAAAAAAAAAAAAAAGTTCATTGTATAGAATAAATATAGACAATTAAAAGGTAAAATGCTTTTTTAGTCCCGTAACTGGACCCTTTTATCATTTTAGTCCCGTAATTGGAGCATGTCGCAAACTAGTCCTATAAGTAAAAATTTTTTGTTGTTTTAGTTCTCCGGTGCTAGAGACGCCTGCGTAGCTCGCCGGAGGACCTGGCGGACACGTGGATTTTATTACTTTATTTTTCATTTTTTTAAAAATTTATTTGATTTTTTTAATTTTTTTTATTTGGTCTAATTGAAAATAAAAATAAAAATAAAATCCACGTGTCCGCCAGGTGTCGCTGACCTGGCGGGACACATGGCTTCCGGCGAGCCACGCGGGCGTCTCCGGCACCGGAGGACTAAAACAACGAAAATTTTTCACTTATGAGATTAATTTGCGACATGCTCCACTTACGGAACTAAAATGATAAGGAGGTGAACTAAAAAACAATTTACCCACAGTTAAAATATTTGTATGGCAATTTATATTTAATGGATTCAGCATTTTTAATTGACTATTCTATATTATTCGAAGTGTATCTACTTTTATGTTTTATAAATGTTTCTTTATAGTTTTTAAATAAAATAATTGTTGGAGGTAATCATTTGAATAAATTATAGGTTTTGATTTATATGTTGTTTAAAACAAATAATATGTTGAATGTAAAAAGTAATAAGAAAATATTAAAATTATTTGTAAAAATAACAGGGTAAACTGTTTTTTTAGTTTCGTAACTGGACTCACTTATCATTTTAGTTCCGTAAGTAGTGAAGCTTGTTGCAAACTAGTCCCATAAGTGAAAAATTTTCGTTGTTTTAGTATTCCGGCGCCGGAGACGCATGCGTGGCTCACCGGAGGTGACGTGTCCGCCAGGTGTCGCTGACCTGGCAGAGACATGGATTTTTTTTATTTTTTTTCATTTATTTAATTTTTTTAAAAAATTATTTTTAATTTTATTTGTACTTTTTTATTTGGTCCAATTAAAAAAAAAAAAAGTAAATCCACGTGTCCGCCAGGTGTCGCTGACCTAGCGGGACACCTGGAGACACGTCACCTCCGGCGAGCCCGCGGGCGTCTCCGATGCCGGAGGACTAAAACAACAAAAAACTTTCACTTATGGGACTAATTTGCGACATGCTCCATTTACGGAACTAAAATGATAAAGGGGTCCAGTTACGAAAAAAAAAAAAAAACAGTTTACCCTAAACTAAATTACCAATTAATTATCAAATGATGATATAATAATAACCTATTTTCCTTGATTTTACAAAGAAAAACTAATAATATATATTTTTTAAATGTAATATGAAATAGCATCATACACGATGAGATATTTCTCCTTAATTTGATGGAACCTCATCTCTCTCACATTACACTAATTTTTGTATCTTATATTTCTTCACCCCAACAAAATTTTATCTATACAATTTTTAATATTTATAATATATATTTTACTTTCACAAAAAAGTCATCATTAAATATAAAATATTATTTTTATATATTATCGACACAATTTTTCTTACCTCACATAAAAAATATCTTAAACTAAAACACTAAAAAAGAAACTAAGTTTCTCCAGAGAATTCTTTTACTTTGTAAGAACTCTCAATCTTTCTTATGCGGCACCAATTTTTGTATCTTACATAGTACATACTATCTCTTTTTTTGTTTGTTGTTAATATAAACAAGGGTGAGTTTTCAACATTGATTTTGATGATACTTAAAGGATTCTCCTTTGGTTTAATTTCATTGCTCGTAGAATATTTGATGAACTCTAATTCACAGTCGGATATTAAGATTTGGTTTCTTTCGTGTTGGTTGAGTAAGTTAAGGATGTGCAAAATAACGAAATTGCTTTAATCAGATTAATTTGGAGGAATGACATAAGTAATCACACTACAAGAAAAAATTATTTTTGTAATAAAATTTTTGTCTCTAAATCTACTTTTTCCGTTACTAATGACATTAGAGACGGAATTAGGAATGAAATTAGCTACATAAACTTTAGGGATGGAATTCCGTTACAAATATATTATTTTTTTGTAGTGTCAGATTAATTTGGAGGAATGACATAAGTAAGTGCATTTGGTTAGATCAATTTTGTTTTAATGGCCTCCTCAATGATCTTCTTTTGGAATTCTATGATTGGATTTTCATAATTTACATTACATATAGAGTCTATTTTTTATATGTTAATTTTTTCAGGTTTGATCATATAACATTTTTCGATAAAATATTATATTTTATAAATAAAAATATCAAACAAAATCACAATTTAAATTAAAATTCAAACTCTACGCCTAATTCAAACTTAAAGAAATACACTCCTAAGTCTTGATACAATAGGCATAATTATTATGAAAAATGTTACCGTTCCTAAGTATGAAATTTACTAAACTTCATTGTCTCCACACTTCGGTATGAATTTTTTGTTAGTTAATTTTTGTGGTGGCATAACCATAGTTATATAGATGTTTTGCTTCTATGTTTTAATGGGAGTTTTGGGATTAAAGTGTATAATTTCATTTCATTTTTTTAACGAAATTTTTCAGAATTAGTAACGGGTAAATTTCAACATCGCAATATATTGAATGCAGCCTAAAAGTGAAGGTTTTTGGTGCTGTTTGTCAATTATTTGATATTTTAGATTGAAGCACCTAATTCTATTTTATCGTCGCTATCTCATTTTTTATTTTTTTATTTTTTTGGATGACGCGTCGCTATCTCATTGTTATGCAGGATAATCGTACGACAAATAATTCTAAAGGAAAGGAAATAATGCAGGATATGCTTAATATGGTTTCATCTACTTGCGATGAACAAGAACGCGATAGGCCATTGGCTTTTGATGATGGTATGGGACAGAGCAAAAGTCGAGCACAATCCTCAAACACATGTAATCAAAGTATATTCTTTGAAAATATTTTTCCCGAAGTTTTACTAGTTCATTATTACTTTCACTTTTAGTAACTCGTGATTTTTTTATTTTTCTTCTTCCGTAAATTTTCATTAAACATGGAAATAAATCTTCTTAATATATGAAACTTTTGAATTTAAATTTCTTAATATTCCTATCATTGATGCAGCTGGAATGACGAAGGAAGATGAAAACCTCGCAAAAATAGTTTATGAAAAACTTTACAGGGCGGGTGCGTGGGCCACCATTGATGACGAGCATACAGCTCCCGAGAAAATTGCCTCGCTGGAGAAGGACACATCAATGGAGGTTTCAGGCGAGCCGGAAGACGAAAGAGAAGAGCCACAAATTGAATCCCCGAAGAAGAAGAAGATAAAGCTCTGCAAAAAATACCCTCATCTTCCGGAAAAGTTCAAATTTGAAGATCGGGAAGAAGAGAGAAAAAAGAAGTTGGAGATGAAGAAGAAAGAGAAAGATAGAGAGCTCGAGGAGCTGTTTGAATTGTTGGATAATCAGTTAATTGGTTATTTATTTAATTGATGGAATTAAATTCATAATATTCGAAACCGATTATTCGCTGAGTTGAAATGCAGATGAGTGATATAATGGTTATTAGGCATATGAATGCCGGTAGACTTAGGCGCGCGCCGCCTGCCTGAACCAGATAATATGGTTGTGGGTTTGGTAAATAAATTGATTAATATAGTCGATTGTGTTTCAGAGCTTAATTGAAATGACAAATATTTTTTGTCAAATCTAAAACCCAAAAAAATTAAATTTATATACCAATAAATAGCCTCAGATTAAATGCATGCATAAATATATAATGCATTTCAAATATAATTGTATGCATAATGCAAAATACAACCAAAGTTTATACACACGTGCATACATGCATTTACACATGGTGATTAATACATGATGTTATATGCAAATTAAATTGCATGAAAATGTTTGCTATGTGTGTAAGTTTTCAAAATTGCTATTAATTTGCAATTTATTGGCATGCAATTAATTTTCGACCGTTACATCCGTGGGGGTGCCTATAAAAATGGTGTTGTGCATCTCATTTGAGAAAACAAGAACCAAGAGAAGATCTATTCTCTCTACACTCCTCTCGTCCCCTGAAATATTTTCCGACAGAGTTTCCAATGAGTTGTCCGGTACAAATGGCAACTCTTTCTTAAATATTAAGCCTCCCGACATAGCTCGTATTCCCCTCATTTTAGTTCGTCGGAGCTCCGAAATATTGGGGTGCCACCTAATTCGGAGACGAACGTCGTTTTATCTTTGGGAACGTTACGCCACGAACCGGAAGCACTACCGGGGTGTATTCGTTTTTGCGAAAAGAAGTTCTACCTCGACTCGGCGTGAATATCGAATTTATTTCGATAAAGTTATTAAATTCGATAAAACTAAATTGTTGTGATTATCAAAATTATTTTGATAAATTGATTATCGAATTTATTTCGATAAAATTATTGTTTTTATCAAAATTATTTTGATAAATTGATTATCGAATTTATTTCGATAAAATTATTGTAATTATCAAAATTATTTTGATAAATTGATTATAGAATTTATTTCGATAAATTATTATTGATTATTGAATTAATTCCGATAAATTATTTTGATATTGAATTTTATATTTCGATGATTATTTGATATTCTCGTGGTATAAAAATTTTCCAACAAAGAGATGGAACATGTTTGGGTAAATTCAATTCGGAAAATTTATTGATTTATATATATATATATATTAATTTAGAAGTGATTCGACACAGATCAAGAACAAACTAATTTGGCAACCATGGTTACAGAACCATGGTTACAGCTTGCTCCCGAAGAAAATTCTATGGAGTCCGAAGAAGAAGAAGAAGAAGAAGAAGAAGAAGAAGAAGAAGATGATGATGATGAATGGGTTCTTCTCCTAAGCATTATACCAATAAATAGGTGCAATGTTCGGAGGTGGCGTAGGTACCATATTCGATTATGAACATGGAAGAAACTCGACTCGTCATTTTGCGCTGAAACATTTCTACCCGAATCTTGTATGATCGGAACTTGAGTCAAGAACATGTTATATGATTGTAGATTAATCGCGACACTCTTGTTTGGGTGAGCATGATAACTTAATTTTAGAATTCTTTTTTGAATGGACGCTCAAAAAAGAATATTCGTATTGTTGATATAATTAATTTGTTTTCGATATTTCTTATTTTACTATTTCATTGTTTAATGAAGAATTATTTTGGGCTTGTAGGGTATTGGTAGGGATGTCAAATGTGGCGAGTTAGGCCCGTACCGCTCTTAATGGAGCGAATTTTGATTTAAAAATATACTTTGGGGTGAATTGTGTATTTTAGATTTTGAATCTTGTCGGGTTCGAGGCGGTTATGGGTTCAAACTCGGATATTGTAATAATTATTAAAATTAATATATATTTATATAATATAAATTATATTACATATTTAAAAATTTTAAATATAAAATAGAATCATAATTCTTAAATTAAATATATTTTTGCATTTATTTCTTTCTTAATTCTCTTCACAATTAGGACTACTAACATGCCTGCCACCCACCGGACACAGCCAATATTTGATTATTCTTTTTTTTTTTGGACTAATTTTCTTTTTTACTTCTAACACTTACTTTTTTTAATGGTTTGATATGGGTCGGGTCCTGGGCCCGGACTGAAGCGTAGCGGATCTTGGGGCCTAATATTTTCTAGCGGGGTGAGTCTCGAGGCATGTAGAATCCGTCCCGAACTCGCATTAAGATTGCTAGAGCTTGATAGCAAAAATAATGTGTGAGATTATGCATATTCGTAAGAAATGAATACTTTTATAAAAATGAGGAATACTGTATTATAATATTTATATATACCGGAGTTGTGCAAAATTATCGATTTATGATTTATCAACTGATTCCAAGTTTAAATTGAAATTTTGAAGTTTTATAATTTGATAATTCGAACAGTTGAATTCAATAAATTTAGAAACAATTGCACAAGTTAGAAAAATTAAAACTAAAAATATGAATTAACTTAAATTTTGATTAAGTTTAATATATATATATATAATTTAAATATTCGAATTATCAGATTCGATGCACATCCTTTATATCAAATTGATTTAAATTACATTATTAGACTGAAAAACAAAAAAAACTTTCGTTTAATATAAGTTCAATAAAATTTTAAAATTTGTAAAAAATAATTAGATGTTTAATAAATCTTCTATTTACAAATACAAATATTTAATATTATATTTTTTTTGAAGAAAACCCTATTAATAAATAGGATAAAAATCCAAACATGTCCCAATACATTTAAAATAATTAATTTAAGTCTGAAAGTAAATAATTATCAATTTTAAGTTCGAATATAAACAATTTTAATCTCAGAAACCCATGACATGACCACTTACTGTAGGATTCAATATCATGTAAACAACACATTGCAATTTGACGGCTTGCAGGTCGGCAAGAAGAAGCGGAGGCTAAACCTTGAGTAAGTTAATACTCCTTCGAATTTAAAATTGAAAAAATATATATTCTAATTTTACTGTTTATTTCGTAACAATCATTTATTTGTTAATATGAATTGAAACACTTGCTTCAATCAAATTGACTTAATTATATTATTTAATTTTAAATAGTTAATTAATTTGAGTATATAAGAATTAACAACAACAAACTACGAAATTAAAACCCAACTGCCAGAAGATTTTGTAATATATATCATCACTGTTCAACTCCAAAATGCGGAATCAAGATAGATACATACATATGTATATAGATTCCATTTGTTACTTCTAACCATATGTTACAAACATTTAGATTAAAATTGTCTCAGGACATACAATATGGTTTTCCAATGAAATTAATCAACCAAACAAAACATGCAGACTACATTAAAGGCAGCATTCTTCGCTGCCACAGAAAATGCTTAACAAAGCCAAAAATACGATACCATTCTAGCGTGAAGATATGTTATCATTTTAGCCCCCCCAAAAAAATGAATCGAAAACATTCTCAAAATCAAATAATTTCTATTTTTTTAAGAAAAAAAAAAAGGATCAGATTATTTGACATAGCAATTCTACTTCCATGAACAAGTGACCTACAAACTACTCCACCCACCTTGAGTTCCATCTCCGGTATAACCAAACAACAAACGCCCCAACCGACAGAATAGGGAAAACATTGCCATCCCAAGTACATACTACAAGACTCACGAACAATATCCCTGCACTAAACCATCCAACATCGACCCACACACGCAACTTCTAGAAGCACCTCATCAAAGTTTTGCTAGTTTAAAAGATCAGATGAAGCCTACTATAAAATGTTAATGTCACATCTCTCAGGCCTTGAGTAACCTAACAGAATCAAGTAATTCAAGTCTTGTTTTCGACGCAACATACCTAGCAATAGAATAATAATGCATTGCAAGATCACACTTTTCCCAATTCAGCAGCAGCAGAGCATCACCAACCATTTTTCTAATTCCTCCTTTGTGCCGTAATTCTAATCTTCTAGGCAGTATATTTAGATATATAGCAAGTAATTGTCCAAGAATCCAACTATTAGACACAATACATCAACATATATCTAATGATGAGAGTACCTTCAGTGATCTCTCGTCAAAAGAAACTCAAATGACATTATAACACCGAGTAATACCAACAGTCTAGAGCCTAATTTGAGAAATCTCTCTCATGCGTTTCAGTTCTTATGATCATACTAACCTAATGGCAACCATGTTTAAAGCAATGTCCACAACTCCGATTAAAAAATATAGAAAACAAAAGCTCCTTTAAGAGTGTTGGACTAAACCCATTACTCAAAACTACGCAAAAATCATGATTCCAGGAAGGTCACTTCAACAAATCAGTCCAATAAGGATCCAAAAAACAAAATGGTAACCAACCAATAAACTTAACCACAACAAGGCAAATACGATACTTGCACGAGTTAGGCTAGGTTTCCAGCGAGGAGAACTCAGTTTTTGGGTTTCTTCCAAACATAAGCTAGTAGTTTTTTTACAACAAACACCATCAACCAAAGAGTTTAGAGAACTCAAGTAGATACTTAATCTCCGAAACCGTGCCCAACAAAGAATAATACCATCTTAAAAAGTTTCATGTCAATTCTGATAAAGGAAATGAAAGCAGCTTCTAAAGTGGACAACTTGTTTCTGAGTAATGGTTCGCCCCGCTGATAATTAACCATAAAAATGTAAACTTCCAACTTTTGGAGAATAGACAACATCTTCAACAAACCAACTGTCACCATTTCCAAATTATAATACTCCAGAAACACAAAACTTGAAAGAAAATCATCTGGCGTAGATCACAAACAGATTGGAACCATATAAACATAATGCAAAACTAGATCTAGCTCAACCAAAGTTTGTGGCGCCCAATGCCACGGATCAAACACCTCTGAACTTCTCCAGAGTGTTACCTTCCAGACAGAAAAAAGTTTACTTTCCACATCTTTCACTTGAAATAATAAGCAGCAGTCATCAAAACACACAAATGTTATTAAAACATCACATGCTGAAGATGTCTCCTTTGTGTTCTGAAAATCTCAGTGACCTTACAGCATATAAAAAGAGGGTGATAAAATCCAACATACATCCTTTAAAAAGTTTGGTACATCAAAGCACCAAAAATCTGTCCCAGAGTTTCAGTCTCTCGATACATGGGGTTTTCCATATCCAAATTAAATGCTCCATCGGGAAAGGCAAGCATTAATATCCAACTTCGAATAACCAACATCCTAGAGCAGCTTCTTCCCAATTCCAATCTGCCATAAGCAGTCATGATAATCATCTCGCTCGGAGTTTGACAAGTACAGAACTTAGCAAGGAGATGGACGAAACTTGTGGTTGCCGAGACAAAAGCAACCCACCAGTTACAATCCCTAAGCTAGCTAGTAATATGGACTAGTTAATGCAGCAAGATAGTTCAAACACAGAGAAATTTGTGTTTGAAAAAGATATCTTGGTGGGGAGAGGGGAGAAGGTGATAAATTTTGCGTACCTCAATAATATGACCCAGAACCACCACTTCCCATACCTCCTAAACCACGTCCAGGATAGAGTGATGAGTAGGAGCTACCACCAACCTGCAAAGGTTATGGTCAAGCACCCTTAGGATGTGGAAGTATGTAACACTTCAAAAGAGCAACTAAAACGTAAAAAAGAACATACATCACCCCCACGAGGCATATAATCACCACCATAACTTGATGAATACATCCCGCCAACATCACTGCTACTGTAAGAACCTGCAATAAGAGAATATTCTAAGTATTAATTGCATGATTAGATGGTTTCTGTTACAGATCAGAGTCCCCAAAAAACAAAAACTTACTCTTTACACTAAAACCAGTACATACCTCCACTGTAACCCATACCCTGCCGACTACTATATAGACCATGTGAATCTTGGCTGGACAAAGAGCTTCGACTTCCACCATATCCAAGGTTTGATCTCCCAAGCCTACCATTTGAAATTGAAGATAAGTTTTACAGAACTTTCAAACAGAAAACAGTATATCAAAGACCCATAATTATATGACAGACCTGTCACCGTAAGCATCTCCATAATGTGCAGAACTGCTACCAAGGTCATACTCCAACCGAGCACGAGAATGACGAACTCCAGCATCAGAATACCGTGGAGGTGCATCATCCTTATACACACACAAAGTCAATGGCAATGTTGCAGGTACAGCACAATTAAGCAAAATAAATATATAAATAACATTTTAGAAAAGACAATCTAGAAATTACCACAGCAGCATAAGGACGTTTGGAACCAGACATAGAATCATAGTCACGCGGGCGTCCCTCGCGGTAAGTCGGAGGTGGCCTTTCATACCTCTGACTATAGCTATCATCAACATAAGCTCTTCTAGAATTAGATCTTGGCGCACCACCTCTGGGTAAATCCGGGTAACCAGATCCACGAGAATACTCATCTCGATAAGGTGGGCGTCTATCAGAAGTCATTCTAGTATCATAGTCTATCACAGTTCTACTTCTAGGGTGAAAATCTTCACGATGGCCATAATCTCTCTTAAAGCCACTCTTGGGGTATGAAGGAACTGTGATATAGTACGGTTATTATTAAATCTGTTTGCAAAAAAGATTAAATGCACTAATATATTAGAATGGTTCAATACCAGGTGGGGGTCTCCTATCATAGGACCTCGGCAAGGGTGCAACAGGCCTGCTCCTTGGAGGAGGAACATCCATAACTGTTCTTCTATCTCGAACAGCTGCTGATCTTTTGAATCCATGTTCATCAACAGGAGGGAGTCGTGACCCAATTCCTCTAGGACCACGAACAGGTACACTACGTGGCGCAGGACGACTCCATGAGCTCCTAACATCTCGAACTGACCCACGTGGAGGCCGAAAATCTCCACGAGCAGCATGTTTTCCCTTGCCTCTCTGAAGTGGTCTAGACAATCTTGCCCTAACTTTAGCCTGAAACATGCAGCAATTTTGGATAAACTGCTCAACTAGAAGATTAAAGGGAACAACAAAGATTAGTTTCAATATGCAACCTTGTGATTCCCTTCACCCAACTCCTCATTATTGATGCTTTTAGCACATATCACAGCAGCATCATGGGTATCAAAGGTAACAAATCCAAAATCCTTTCTCCTCGCAGATGGCATATTGCGAGCAAGCTCAACCTTTTCAATCTCCCCATATTTTTTGAGAAGATCCTTAACATCTTCCTCATCCCAAGCAGCAGAAATGCCATCCACAAATACAGTTTTTACCTGAATTCAAGAATTAAGGTCAAAAAAGCACAAGAGATTTAAAGTAAATGAAAGAAAGACCAGCAAACAAAAAACTTCATACCAAAAGTTAGATTAAAATGCATTTCAGAGAATAAAATAAAACGAGTTAACTAACGAAAAGATCTAGTACTCACAAATTTAAGTGTATGCACATTGAGATACAAGGGAAATAAAAGGTACAAATAAGGTATCCATGACATGATAAGGAGGCATAATTCTGAATTACTAAAAAGCAAAAACTAAATAGAATACCCTTAAACTCTGATCAGTTATCCAATCTTGGATTCAACACACATACAATCAAGTCAAATAATTTTTAACAATTAACATTGATATGTACGGTATATGCTATGTCACACACCCATTCAAATGGAATTAGATTTAGAAATTTCAGTTATATCTTGAACAAAGAGGCAGATATATCCAAGTATGCACCTGGGCCATGATTTCGTCACCAGGATCAATGAATGAATCTGCAAAGGAAACCTTAGCAGGCCTATCCACTCCAAAGACTACATCCCGCTTCTGTAGACGCTTAAAAGCATCCATGGCATCAGATCTTGAGGAAAACTCTAAGAAAGCAAAGCCTCGATTCATTCCCACATTGTTACTATCTTCAACCAATGTCAGATCCTCAATATTCCCAATGCCATAATGCTTCAACTTGTCCTTCAACTGAATTGTAATAAATAGTCATGTAACAAAGGTCCATTCTAAATTATATTACTCATCAGCATTGAACGATCTACTTACAGCTTCTTTTGTCCATGTCCTGCATATGTTACCTAAAAATAGAGTATCACTGTCCTGGCTCGGGGTAACTCCACACTGCTTTCCATGAACCTAGAACTTGGGAGGTCAGAAATCTGAATGCAGCGTATAGGAAAAATCAGTAATTTCAGCAAATATGAATAAAAAAAAGTACCACTGGGTTTTTCAGTTCAGAACAAGCTCTTTTTGCTTGCTCCACAGTTGCAAATCGCAAAAATGCGAAACCCTTGTTTTTCTTTGTCTGAGGGTTCATCATTAGTCTGACTTCAGTAACTTCACCAACTTCACTGAAAACTTTCCTCAGATCGCTCTCAGTAGCATCCTTATCTAACCCACCAACAAAAACTTCATACTCCTTCCGCTTGCGTCGTTCTTTAACAACATCATGGTGTTCCTCTTCCTCAGCAACATCAGCCATCTCAGTATGGTCCTGCCCTGCATGCTGATCATCTTCCTCCTGCTCAAGGTCTTCAGGCACGCCTTCAATTTCTTCTTCAACCACATTTCCCTCTTCCTCATCAACATCAACTTCATCAGGATCCTCTTCTATTACATCACCTCCTTTTCGCCGAGGATCCGGCCCAATTTCCTTCTCATCATAATAAGGAGCACCATAATCTTCAGTTTCATATTCAGCATCATTATCCTCCAAGTCTAATCGTTCATCTTTTTCAAACTCATCTATTGATTCTTTTGCATCAAAGTCTGCCGAGTAAAAACAGTAAGACAGACATCCAAATGCAAGTCAACTGATGGAACAACGAAATGATGAAGGCCATGTTGTAAGAGCATGCATGCTAACTATTTATTTAGACTAGAAGCATAGATGTGTAACAAAAAGTAGAGCCACCAAGCCCTTCATCTAAGACAAGACTTCAATGGAAGTCTTCACCAGTTTGAAAATACCAATCAGAAGATTTATCCTTTTCTTTCTGAAAATCAGGATGAAATAACCACTTAACACTCCAAATGTGGCACATATTATGTCGCAAACAAGGGGAAGCCGCCGGAAATCTACCGAGTTGTGGAAGGAGGCAGGAGAGGCAAAAGGAGTTACGAGAAAACAGAGGACAGAGGACAGCGGTATGGGCCAGAGAAACTCACAAAGATAGACAAAAATAAAACTTCTAATATCCTTATCCAATGCACAATGCGCTATTGCAAGCTTTTTCATATTTGCTCCACAACATGTGTCATGGGGCGTCATTTACATCTATGATTCATGGAGTTCTCAATTTTGTATATCACGCAGAAGATCTCCAAAAGAAAATTCCACGTGTCAAATTATATACAATTTATTACTTCTTCATCTAGCTTTGCAAGTACCCCTTAATTCAACTAATCTACCCACACAAGCAATTCTTCAGATAAAAATTACCAATCTATCATAAAATAAGCAGAAACCAATCTACCACAAAAGCATATGCAATTAAAGATGCAGCACCCACTATCCCAAGAGAAGTGCATTACTGTTTAAAACTTGAAATAAAGGTCTTCTTTTACCATCAATATAAGTCAGACCAACACAGAAAGCCCTAGAAAATATCTCAAACCCATCAAAATTCGAGCGAGCTAGCGGCTGCAGTTGGGCATCCATATCAGTTATACATTTAGGTCGTTTTGTGCTCAGCAATTGTTATGATTGCTTCAAAGCGACTAAACCCTAGATAATAGATTTGATCATTGACAATTACCCAGGAAAATCTGAAAACTATGAAACGAATTACGAATACAGACAGATAACACCAGTCGCATCAAAACCCTAGGCACCGAAAGCTTCACTCACTGAAAAACCAATAACAAAACGATAGGTCAACTTACTCTTCGCTGAAGCATCGTCCTTTTCTGCCCCCAATTTCTCCGGCGTCTTCACCCTTTCCTCGGGTTCGATCTCCTCCTCAACAAACGGTGCCTTTTCTTCCTCGACTTTCTCCCCTTCCGCAACACGACTATCTTCCTCCTCCACTTTCGGTTCCTCCAAGTGGATCCGAGCCTGCGCCCTCGCTCCTCGTCCCCGCGCAGCTCGCTTGCTCCCCGGCCCCGCTGCGGTTCTCCTCGTCGTTTTCGGCGGCATCCTTCACCTAATCAACCGATTAAAAACCTCAAACGGATAATTCAAGATCGAAAAAGCACCGATATCGACAGACAAGAGAAGTCCAGGAAAGATTTGCGCGTAATCTTCAAGGTCCGTCCCTGCGGTTGTCGTACGTCAGCCGCGGAAATTGAGAAACCCTAATGAGAGGTAAAGATTTGGCAAAATCTGTTGAATGCGTGCAATGCCAAGAGCGTTTAGATTTATATAATATTGAAAAAATTAAAGTAAGGCATCACTTCAATGCATCAGATATGTATTTATTTGACACGTAGATATAATAGGGGTAATTTCGGCATATGAGAGAAATTAATATGATTGGCTCATCGACGTGACAATTTGAGAACTCGGTCTATCTATAACAACCGGTCTTACGTATTAAGGTCATCTTGTTAAGTATTTTTATTTTAATCATAATCTTATTTTCATTAAAATATTGTATTTTTTATTATTTTAAATATTTTTAAAAATTATAATTTATAATAAACATTTTAAATTTAAAAAAAAAATTGAAAATTAAAATAAAAATAAATAAATAATGTCATACCAACGCAAAACAATAGTGCAGAACCGACCCTAAATCTACCAACAGTTGGAGACGCCCTACCATGGTTTAGATATATGATATGGATCAGCTTAGTATTGTGTTAATTTGATCTGATTTTAGTTTTAGCTTATGTTACAGAGTGATATACATATTTCAATATATTTATAATATAATACTTGATTTATCCGTCCATTAAAATTAGTTCATTTGAGTTCGGCACGACAAATAAAAAATAATATTTTATTGAAAAATAATAGGTAGTTTAGGGTATTTTTGAAAGTTTAGTTAAAAAATAAAGTAAATAAAAAGAGAAAATGTAATAAAATTAATGATATTTGTTGTAAATGAACGTTGAATAGATGGTAATAATTAAATATTGATTTGTTGACTTTGCCAAAAGTAATAGGATAAATTTAGCGAACGGACTAAAAAGGAAAGTGGAAATAAATTTGGCGGACGGAGGAAGTATATATTTATTTTTATATATTTCAATATATTTATAATACTAACATATATTTTCTCTATTTCTTAACCATCTATCTATTTTGCTTCGTCCCATAACAAAATATTCATTTTATTTTTTTTAGTAATTGTATTATTTATTAACATTACAAATACCCTTCCAATTTACAACATATTACACGAATGTCATTAAATTTATATCAACAATACTAATAAAGTTAAGATTAATCTCCAGGTAACTCGGTAGATATATTGCTCTCCCAAACTAGGTCAAATCATGACTATACTGATTTTATTGTATCAGCATATAAATACACGAGTCAGCATGAATATTTTTTAATATAGTAATAGTATTTGATAACTAATTGTAGTATAATAGAAATAGAAAGATACCTTTTAATATTATATGAAGTGTTGGGGCAAATGAAGTATATATTTTTCTAAAAATACATTTTTATCATTCTTCATACATTGAATTGAGACGAAAAACCAAGGGCCAAAAACATGATTACAAGAAACAAGATGATGAATGAAGAAAACACTATCACACTAATCCTTACAAAACTTGAACATTATCATCTCAATCCAAAATAGGGACTTACTATCCAAAAACACTAAAAACATGAGCCTTTTTTCGCCTTTTTACGGATCGATTAGGCCCCCGAACCCATTGTCGGGGCGATGCGAGGGAACAAAAGCTTGAGGCGGAAAGCGTCGACTCCATTCAAGTAGTACCGGAAAAGCCTCTTGGCTCTAATGAACCCCAAACGACCATAGAGCGCGAGCGCACCTTTGTTTGTAACTTCTGCTTCCAGTGTCACCTGCAACACACAACTTTGTGACCCGTCGGGGGTAGACAGACCATGAAAATCTTGGAAAATGTAATAAATCAACACAACAATTGAACATGCACCCGAAAAAGAGAAGGCTAATGTTGAAAGGCGTAGATGTGATCAAAGATTCGAAAAATAATGGGTAATAAGATAATTGCGCCATCATTAAGAGGCCTAGCCTTCAAGAAAATAAGAAAAATGCTTATAGCCTAATAGGTAATGTGTAACATGGATTAAACGTTCGAAAAACTAATGGGCAACAAAATGAGGCACTATTGAGCAGTTCTAATTACTAAGATAATCTCTTTCACCAAGCCTTCAAGAAAGTAAGAAAATGCTTATCGCCGTAAGCAAATATACCTCCTCACAACCGGATTCCATCATCACTTTGATCGACCTGGTAACAAGCTCAGTTGCTGCAAATCAAAGCTGTAATCAGTAACATTGCCAATGATTATCCACTAGCCGACGATTTCTATTGCCAAAAATCATGCAAACGGTGAAATTTTTAGCAGCTACATGGATATGCTGATGATTGAGAATTCGAAGGTATTCCATCTATTGAAATTCGACAGCGAGATCATCCACACCAGCATTGTTTCAATTCAAAGCTTATCAGTAAGGTAAACACATCAAAGCCTAGTTAATTATGTATGTGTATATATATATATGATGTATGTATGTATACGTAGTATCAGTTACCAATGCCTTTGCCTCTGTAAGGGCTGAGGACGACAAGCATAGCAATGTATCCACGGAAGGTATGGCGATGATCTCCCATCTTGCACACCACAGTCCCCACGCATTTACCTTTATGAAATGCCTGCAATTTGGGGATCAATCAAGCATCAGAGGACATCCAATTAGGGATTGATTATTTGAGAGGTGAGAAAAAAGTAGATCATTACAAGGAACGAAAGGTTGGGCCAGAGGTAGACGAAGTATCTGTACGTGAAGATGGAATACGGCTCGCTAAGCTCCTGATCAACCAAATTCATAATCAGCGGCAGGTGATGCTCCCCGCCGTAGCTCACATACTCTATCTCCGACACCTCGAAATCCGCCTTTCCCTCCGCCATACAAACGGTAAAAATACCTCAACGAAAGGCGAATTCCTGACTTTTGAATCCGATTATCGAAGAAGAACAGTTTAATCCGCCGGCGATAGCGCTCGAATCGGCCGCAGCAGAGCTAGGGTTTCCTTCAATTCCTCGACCATGAGAGCTTTGTTTACACAGCTTCTTTGATTTTCCATTAATTTATTAATTATTTTAAAAGCAAATTAATTATTTTTAAATATTTATTAATAGTAATGGAAGCCAAAAGGAAAGAAATAAATAAAGAACAGTACAGTGAGCAAACAAAACAGCGCTTGAGGGGAGCCCTCTCCCTCACCCTAAGAAATTCCGTCTCGATTCGGTTGAATTCGGGCGATTTTGATCCGTCTAACGTCTCCAATCTGAATTCCCGAGCTAAGATGCGCCGGCAGGCGGAGGCGTAGTCGGAAAAGAGGTGGATTTCTGGAACTCGATTTTGTGTGTAGTGATATGAACATTTACGGAGATCGAGCGGCAGGAGGGTCTGCCAAGGGTGGGGAGATGCTGGATCGGAAGCGGATTAATGATGCCTTGGGCAAGCAATTGGAGAAGTCTGCCACTCCCACCTCAAGAAGCAAGGGCGGCGCCGCCACCGGCGCCTTACCTTCCACCTCTGCGTCCACCGGAAAACATGTTGATGCTCGGGACAAGCTATCCGAAGGTACCTTTTCTTGTAATTTCTATTATTCTTAGTTTGTTCTATTATAAACGCAGGATTATTGTTTTTTGTGTGGTTGATTAAGATTTATCTGGTGGTTGGAGTTGTAATATACTTTTGAGCTTAAAATCTTCTGCCATGGAGTGTTTCAGTCTGTTGAATCAGATCTGTCTGAGGTGTGGAATCTGCCATATTTTGCTATTGCTTCCTTACAAATTCTATACTTCGTTGGCTTCTGTGGATTTAAGTTGAATTGCCTGTATTACATTGAACTGGCTACGAATCACGACGGCTGAAAAGTATGAATCCGCTATGGATTCTCAGGTCTGTCACTTGAGTTCCATATGTTAGTGTTGAATTTCCGGAGGAGGAAGGGGATCTGTGCTATGGATTGAATGATGGCAATAACATTTCTGATGTGAAGGTGAATCACAGTCGGAATAGAGGTTGATAAATGTAAACGAGGGTACGCTGGATTGGATCTTATCCTATTTGGTTTATTTTCTTCGCTCGTCGCATTTTTTGCTAGTTATCCGGTACCTATTGCTACCTGTTTATTCCTATATAATAAGGATTCATGAAATTGGCGATGTTAGCTAAGCTTTGTATGCTTGTTCATGTTGCAGGGGAGTCTGAGACGGACAGCGAAGAGTCTGACGTCAGTGGTTCTGATGGCGAAGATACATCTTGGATTTCATGGTTCTGCAACTTGAGAGGAAACGAGTTCTTCTGCGAAGTTGATGATGAGTATATTCAAGATGATTTTAATCTATGCGGTTTGAGTAACCAAGTCCCGTACTACGATTATGCTCTGGACCTAATTCTTGATGTAGAATCATCTCATGGTCAGCATTTTCATGTTTATATTTGATTCAAAAATTAACTTGTTCGATAATGGGCTTTTGCATATATATATAGGTGATTCGTTTACTGAAGAACAGAACGAATTGGTCGAATCTGCCGCGGAAATGCTCTATGGGCTCATACACGTTCGATACATCTTAAGTAGCAAAGGAATGGCTGCAATGGTAACATCCATAGTTCGCTTAAAATCTTTCTCGTCGTCTACTTCATTTTTTCACATCGCTAACATCTCGATCTGGAAATGACGGCAGTTGGAGAAGTACAAAAGCTATGATTTCGGAAGATGCCCCAGAGTTTACTGCTGCGGACAGCCTTGTCTTCCCCTTGGACAATCCGACATCCCACGCTCAAGTACCATAAAGATCTACTGTCCTAAATGCGAAGATGTATACTACCCTCGATCCAAGTACCAAGGCAGTATCCTTAACATGCGCTCTCGTTTTCCATCCATTGCATGCTGAAATTGGATTCTTTCATTGCGATAATCGAATTCTCCCATTGTTAAATGATTTCCTTGACTGATAAAGATATCGACGGCGCGTATTTTGGGACCACATTCCCTCATCTATTCTTGATGACCTACGGGCAGTTCAAGCCTCAGAAGCCTACGCAGAGCTACATACCCCGAGTGTTCGGCTTCAAGATGCACAAGCCTTGAAATGGATCGCCTTTTAAAATCCCGACACTTGGAAAAGAATGAATTTGTGCTATGTTAGTCCGATGAAACAGTTGCAAACATTGACACGCCGGAACATCAGATAGGCGGTGAAGAGCGATTTGTGTTTAGATTCGGACACATCATGTGTAAGTTTATTTCTCTCTTATTCGATTCGTCGTCTGTGGCAAAATATGTGTTTTTTTTTTTTTTTTTTCTTTTGCAATCTCCTTCCCTAACTAGACTTACCTTGTCTGAGTTCTTTGTTATATACATATATATACATATATATATTGCTGAACAAGAAGAAGAAGATGTTGAGCAATCATAAACTAAGTTGAGTTCATTGCCTCTTTGCTTGTTTTTAATTTTATTTTTTTTGCCAAATACATGTGCAATTAGTTTTTTTTTTATATATATTAAATATTTGATTTTTTACTTATTATTAAAATGTTTCTAAAATTTCAAAATTTCTTATTTAAATATAAGGTATATATATATTTTTAAAGTAAGTATAGATCCTAGCGTTTCGTATAAATATATTTATATTTGTTACATTATATTAAAATATAATGATAAAAAAGGTCTTATGTGAAAAAATATTTATGAATTAGTAAAAAAAAAAAAAGAAAAAAAGCAGGGTGTGTTTGTTTGGGAATTTGGATCTTGAGTTGGGATTTGAATAGTAAAAATTTTGAATTTGAATAGTTGTATGATGTGATATAAATAAGTGTTGATGTGATATTTTGAATGTAAAATCGATTTTTAGTATAATATAAAAAATTAAAAAATAAGTGTTTGATTTGATGTTTTTGGAGGGGAAAAATTGGAAGAATAGTATATTAGGGGAAAAATCCCAAAAAAGCACACCCTATGAATTAATTACTCCCTCCGTCATAATACAATGGTCTTATTTACTATTTTTATTTGTCCCAAAACAATAATTTTATTTTTAAAACTACTTTTATTTTTCATTATTATTACACCATTGTCACTACTTTTTACACTAATACACTCACAAGGGCAAAACAATTTTTTGCCCGTACTTTTTATTCAATATCAATATTTTTTAAATCTCGTGTCAGATACGATTCTGGGACGGAGGATTCATTGTATATTTTTATTGAACAAAATAAATATTTTTATTATTGGACTACCATGGATTTGGGCTATCAACATATCCACAATTAGAGGAAGTAGACAAATCATCTTAATAACACTATAAAGATATTTGTTCGAATACGGTGTGGGTTTTTTTTTTTTATTATTATTATTATTATTATATTATTATTATTATTATTATTATAATTTTTATCTTATTATAATTCGATGAACAAGGTAATTGAAATTTATTGAGTATTAATTACGATTTTATCATGCAAAAGAAATTAATAGCTGCAAATTTATAATTAATTTAGCGTATTCGAATAGAAAACAGAAACATGAAGATGAAATTCGATGGATGCTCATTAATATATATATATATATATATATAAATAAATGAATAATTGATTTCATTTTGTCCAAATCTTATCATCATTTTCAGACACGCACAAAAATCCAATCAAACGGGCGGCGGCTGACAAAAACCCAACTACTCCATTTGATGGTATAGTTGTAAATTTTGACCATTTTGCCCCTACTCTCAATCTCAAAGGACTTTTTTTTTTGATTTTTTTAAGAGTTTGTTCTTTTAACCTAAATTTTTTTAATATTTTTTTAAAAAAATTAATATATTATACATATTTATTATTTTTATATTATTTATAATTTTAGATTACAAAATATTTTTTTAGATTAAAATACATAACAAACACACATTAAATTTTCTTTCATCGAGAATTTATAATTCTCTCCATTTTGTTTAAAGAAAAAAATAAAAATAAAATCTTAGTTAAAGAATATTCTATTTTTCTATTTTTGCTATAAAAATAATAATAATTATTATTATTATTTATTTTTTATTAAAACTCATACATAGATATAAATATAGGTGTTGATTTGATGTTTTGAATGTAAATTTGATTTTTAGTATAATTTAAAAAATAAAAAATAAATATTTGATTTGATATTTTTTTTAAAAAAAATGAGATAGAATATTGTATTTAGAGGAGAATCCCCCGAACAAACACACCCTTAGAAGACGGAGAATATATTTTATATTCATTTAACTTTTTTCTTTTTCTTGTCGAAGACAATAATGTTTGTCTTTCGTTTTAGTGAAATTATTTTTTTATATATTTAAAAAGAAAATACTTTTAGATTAAAATTTATATTAAAAAAATTTAATGATAGATTTAATTAACCAAGGGAATATAAAATATAATTAATCTGCTCACTCTATTTTTGTGATAATACAATTTTAAAAAATATTATAAAAATAAAAATCTATACACACCATCACATAATTTATGTATATTGTACTCACAAAAACTTGATAATTCTAATATAAAATATTAATTTTTATATTACTAATACAATTTATTATATCTAACATAATAATATATATATACCCAAAAAACACAAAATGAACACAATTTATATATACTTCTTTTTATCTCTTAACAATCTATTAATTTTTATATTTTGGTCTGTTCCATAACAAAGTATCTGTTTTTTTTTTTAATTATACTATCTACCTAACATTATAAATACCTTTCCAATTTATAATATATTACACAAATATCGTTACATTTATATCATACAATACTAATAGAATTAATTTAATCTTTTTATTTTATTTTTATTTTATCTCAATATAATACTAATATTTCCAAAACTTTGTACATAAAGCAAATGAATATGTAAATATGGGACGGAAGGAGTATATATTACTATATTGCATGAGCACCATAATTGTGGACATGTACATCCGTATACATTTCATGTAATAATTAGTTTTTTTGACTCAATAATTAAGATTGTTAAATCTGTAATTAGAGCTTAAAAAAATTAAAAAAAAAATAAATCTTGATTAGATATCCCAATTTAGATTTGACTGCAAATGATGGAATATATTTATATATATATATATATATATACATACATACATTAATTTGGGTTTAATGATTACTAATTGCTTGGAGGTTTACTGGGCATTATGTAATTGGGCAGCTGTTTGAATTTTGCAATGTTAGGTCATTTACTTGTCAATGGATATGTAATAAGCCATCATATTTTTCATTTATTTTTAATTTTTGCTAATCTATCCTGAATAGCATTTGAATTTGTATCAACAAACAGATTTAGATAGATATTTTTAGAATTTTGAAATAATATTATCCGAGAATTTTATTTTATTTTTACTATATTTGATGAAAATAAGATAAATTGAAATGTTAAGGTACCTGTATTAAAATTTATTCATATAAAATTTAAATTAAAAACAATTTTATTCAATCTATTTATCATTCCCAATAAATATGTAATATTTTTCAATAAAATATTATATAAAAAATTTATTTAAACCAAAATTCAAATTAAAACATTTTTTTTTTTTTTTTTACAATGAATTAGTATTAATGAAGTATCACATTAAAGTCATTGGTAATTAATTTTGTTGTTTGATTAGTCAAATATATATTTCATAGACCATTAGGATTTTATTATTATAGTTGTTGGAAAGATAAAATAAAAGATTTATTATTATTATTATTATTATTATTATTATTATTATTATTATTATTAAATCTTCAATCGAAGAACCTCTTTTGTTGGCAACCCAAATATTATTCTAGTTAATATTTTATTTTAAAATTACAATATATATATATATATATATATGAAATGATATCAAAAGCAACTAATATTATGGATCGATTACTTGTTCTAGAACCCTTCACACGTTATTGTGCTTGTTCAATAGTCAATACTCATTGCAATTGTATTTGGTTTGGAGTTTTTCTAAATTTTTTACTTATTCACTAATTTTTTTTTAACCTAAATACATCAAATCAATTTTTTTTTTTTATTACTTAAAATTAATTTTTATATTTCAAATACTATCATTACCCATTTAAGTATATGTATAGAACTCAAACTCAAAATCCCCAAAGAAAAATGGAGGGGCAACATCGTAACAAAGGGGAAAAGTAGGGGCGAAAAGTGGGAAAAAGAAAAGAAGTCATAGGAGGAGCGCTTTGGTATCTGCGGGCGGTTTCAAATTGCGACACCATAAACTTCTCGTACTCTCCGCTCGCCCATTCTTCTTCTTCTTCCTCCTCGTCGTCTTCCTCCACTCTCCCTCCATTCGCCATTGATTTCCCTATTTAGCAATCACACATATCTCTATGTATATCTTCTATCTATTTGTCCACACCACAGGCCGACAGGATTCGATTCTCATTCACACCTTCCTTCCTTTCATTTGCTGAATTCGCGCAGATACATACAAAACGGATTTTTTTCCCCAATTTTTTTTTTTTTGTGTTTTAGGTCTGGATCGTCGATCGATGGTTTAGGGTTTGGTGGTGGTGCGTATGTATGTAATGCATCAGAAGAAATCCGAGGCTCAGATCGGAACAGAAAGCAGTGGCATCTCTTCCGATTTCAACCCTACGCCGCCGTCGTCGCTCACTCAGAAGCACCCTCAATTCCCCCAAAATTACCACCCCACGGTTCTCCACCCGCCGCTGCAAATCCTAATCGACGGCGAGGCTAATAACAACCACAACAACAATAGCGGTGGTGGTGGTCGAGAGGAGGAAGAGGATGGATTCGCCGCCGTTAATCAGTACGGCGGCGTCCGCCATAGATGCGGCGATAATTCTCCGACGAGGAGATTCGGCGTATTCTACAACGCCTCTCAGAAATTCCTCACTGACTTTCCCCGTCGTCTCCGGCGGCTGCGCGCACATCTCCGGCTGATTCTCCTCCTTAGCCTTCCTTTCTTATACTTTTTCGTGTCTCATCCTTCGAGCTCGTTCCTACTTGATTTCATGTCTGCTTTTGCCTTCTCAGCCGCTCTGCTATTCTCCCTCAATTTGGCTGTTCCGCGCCTCCCCACCATAAGGCTTCTCCTTGCAAAATCACTGCCTATCAAAATAGCTGCAAAGACCGGCAATGGCATCAACCACCGGCGGCCACAATTCCCAGTCCTCTGGTCGATAGGGCCGTGGCAGAAAGCTGCCGATAAGAAGGCGGTCACAATCACCGGTTACTATGTGCAGGCGTATAGAAATGGCGACGTCTACGAGGGTGAGTTTCACAAGGGGAAATACAATGGCAGCGGAGTGTATTACTATTACATGAGTGGGAGGTATGAAGGGGATTGGGTCGACGGAAAGTACGATGGCTACGGGGTGGAGACATGGGCGAGGGGTAGTCGATATAGAGGGCAGTACGGGCAGGGTCTTCGGCATGGTTTCGGTGTGTATAGATTTTACACCGGGGATGTTTATGCCGGGCAGTGGTCCAACGGGCAAAGCCATGGTTGCGGCATTCATACGTGCGAGGATGGTAGTCGCTACATCGGAGAATTTAGGTGGGGCGTTAAACATGGCCTTGGACACTACCATTTCAGGTAATGCTCTTCTGATTTTGGATTTTGATTTTGATTTTGAATACGCCATGATTGGTAGTCGAGGTTTGATCCTAACTTAGTTTTTCAACTATAGGAACGGAGATAGGTATGCCGGAGAATATTTCGCCGACAAGATGCACGGATTTGGCGTCTATTATTTCGCCAATGGGCACCGCTACGAGGGCGCTTGGCACGAGGGTAAAAGGCAGGGTCTTGGCATGTATTCTTTTAGAAGTGGCGAAGCTCAATCCGGACATTGGCAAAACGGAGTGCTCGATGTCCCAAGCACACAGAGCCATAGCTATCCTGTTTCTCCCGTCGCCGTTAACCACTCCAGGGTGCTCAATGCTGTTCAGGTAAAATTTTTAAGCGTTTCATAGAAGTAATCTAAAATAATCAACTAAAGAAGCCGAAAACAATCAGGAAGCTCGTCAGGTAGCGGAGAGAGCTTACGAGGTGGCCAAGGTGGACGAGAGCGTGAACAGGGCAGTTGCAGCAGCCAACAGGGCAGCCAATGCAGCCAGAGTGGCGGCAGTGAAAGCCGTGCAAAGGCAAATACACCGAAGAACCAATAGCAATGAAATTCCAATTCATGTTACGTAGGACTCGCCACGACAACCATAGTAGAAGAAGATACAACTTCCTACCGATGAGAAAGATAGAGGATTTAGCTGGATCAACGATGAGAAGGATAGGAGTGTTCGATGAATCGAGACTTAAAGCATGAAGATTTACTATTCTTCCTCGATTCACCAAAGCTTTATATAAAAGCTGAAATTTTTTATACAGACCGGAGTTGTTAGCCATCTAGGCTCAGTCGGGATTGGGTGAGGCAGGATTTCTCACCTTGTCATGAGGAGCTTTTACAGTTTTGGGGTTGTATAGTTAAAAATAAGTTTTAAGTATAAGTTTTCGAGTCGCAGGGAAACCCCTGATATACACATACAGCTGATACCTCTGTACGTGGAAAACTACTGATCGATAGAGATATAATATTTCAAGTCAAAGCTGTTTTCATCAGATACCTGTGATCTCAAGAAAGGTATATCGAAGATTCGATGCTTAGAACTATGAATATTTCCAAGTATGATGCTATGAAAAAAATCCAAAATTTATAATATAGAAGCAAAACTAACACCAAGTATATCGAAGATACAGCAAGATTTATGTAAATCAAAAGCCGAAGGAAGTTCACAATGTAAATAGAAGGGATTAAAAAACGTGACCGGGATTGAATGTGCTGAACAAAGAGTTCGTTGTGCTTAACTCTCTGTCTGCTCCCTCAACCTTCGGATGGTGCTCCTCACTGTTACAGCACTCGCAGTGCTGCAGGGGAATAGAAAGTAGCTTAAGACTCCATTAAAAGGTTATATCATAAACTAGCACAAGAACAATAAGGTGTGACCAATCGTAAAAGGTAATTACTTTAATGTGTATGCACCGCCTGCCTTCACCTTCCCGCAATCCTTGCATCCCCAAATGCCGACAGCCTTCCTCTTCACAGCATACTGGTAGTCATATAAAATATAGTATCAAATCATCATCCATGACCCAACCTGATTTATCACCTAACCAACATAACCAATAACTTTCTGTACCTTCCCGCAAAACTCGCAAAAGAATTTGCTGTGCTGGCTAACTTCCATCTTCTTAATTTGCTTCCTCAAACTAGCACCATACCGGGTGCCTGAAATGTGATGGAGAACGCGTCAAACATGAAAATCATTTGCTCCATATGGTCAATGTGATTATAAAGCTAAGATCCACATATAAGCTAATAACCAATATAGAACACACACTATAATGGAAGGGTTTATAACTGAAAGAACATAGCCTTACCGTACTTTCCCACAATTCCAACCTTCTTGGTTCTCTTGGCCTGCAAATAGTAAACAAAATTTGAGAAAAAAATACAGGCATACTTTTCCGAAACATGAATTAAATAGCCCGCAGGTACGCAATTAACAAATTGAAAAGTGAGAAATCGCCTAGTTTATAGGAATGAAATTGAGATGAATTATTTCTCACAACTTCAACACAAAAAGTTTTGCAGCAAAGTTTGAGAGCGCAAGTATCAATTCCTTCAGAGCAAAAGCATAACGTGATCTGCATATCATTTTGACTACGAATATACAACAAAATTACAGAGCAAACAGAGAAAGGACATCCGATAGATAGTGTACCATAGCGTAGACGATTCAGGGCAACCGCAGCAGCGACACGAATGAGCGACGGCAAAAACCCTAGATTAGCTATGTGGAAGAAATTGGGTTAATGCAATTTTTCGTGAATATATATACATATATATATGTGTATATATATTAGAAGGAATTTTGTATCTCAGCCCCTAGAGTCTTTTCTAATTGTCAAAGGCACCAACAAAATCTCAGTAATTTATTTTTATAAAAAATATTAAAATTGTATAATAAAAAGTAAAAAAAAAATCTAAATTTCTTTTATATAATCTAACAGATAGAATAAAATTCATCGGACACAATAGATAAATCTAAAATTCATTTAACAAAATTTTAAAAACTTATTATAAAATTACAATATAAAACATTGTAAAAAATAATCTAATTATAAATAAAAAATAATCTAATTATAAATATGCTAATTGTTGATAAATCGATTAATTATTTAATCGATAGAATTTAAGTTTAAATTAAATTATAATTTTCACAATCAATTATTCGGTTAGTTGAAATACATGTGGCTAGTACTGTGGTTATTAATAGTATGGTTGCACATATAAATACCTGTTCAGATATAATCCGTACCACCTGCCCAGATTAAAAATTATAATTACACCGCATGTTCAGTAAATTATTATTTGAAATTTATATTTATGATCGAAATTAAATTTGGTTTTAGTAAATTATTATTTGAAATTTATATTTATGATCGAAATTAAATTTGGTTTTTATAACCGAATATTACTGAAATTAAGAGCCGACGGTTTCGGCTCAGCATTTAAACTCCAATGATGGATGTACCTATAAAAGACTCTCTCCACCACTTCATTTTACACACTAGTTTTCTCTCATCTCTCCTTTTCTTCTTGGACAAAGTTTTCAGTGAATTATCTGGTTAAGTTTTCTGGCGACTTTCTGACCTCTAACCTCCCGATACGGTGTGTGTTCACTTCGTTGGAGCTCCGAAATATTAAGATATCATTTAATTCGAAGACGAACGTCATTTTATCTTTGAGAACGTTATGCCACGAACCGGAGACACTACCAGAGCGTATTCGTTTTTACGGAGAAAGGTTCTACCTTGATTCGACATGATTATCGAATCTATTTTGATAAATTGCTTATCGAATTATTCCGATAACATTATTGAGATTATTGAATTTATTTCGATAAAATGATTATCGAATTTATTTCGATAAAATCATTGAGATTATCGAATTTATTTTGATAAATTATTTTTGCATTTTCAATGCCGGAAATCATTTATGTTTAGTTGTTATAGTTTTAATAAATTTGAAGGTTTAATTTTTATTCTTTTTTTTTTTCTTCTCTTTTATACATATACTACAAGAAAAACTCATTTTGGCTTCGAAAATTTGCTTCGGAATTTGAACTACTTCTGAAACTATTTTTTTAAAGCTTCGGATTTTGCTTCAGAATGATACCCGAAAAGTAAAAGTCTTTGTCCTTTCAGTTGTCTCGGCAGGTTTTAAAATAATTTCAAAATATAATGTCAAAATGCGTGAGTTTATATTTCTTATTCCCTCGGAATTTCCGAAGCAATTTTTAAATATTTATATAAAAAAAAAATTTCAAAATTTGGCCACCGGACAAATTAATTTTCCGGCGACCCGGACGCCGGATTCTCCCACATCCTCCAACAACAGCGCCAGCGACCTTCAAATCCGGCAGCAGCTCTGGCGGAGGAGTGGTGGAGCACTTCGTTTCCGGCGGCAGCAGCAGCTCCGGCGGAGAAGTGGCGGCCGGCTTCGACGCCACGAGAGTTCATCTCCGGCAGCGGCAGCTTCGGCGGAGGAGGCTGGCTTCGACATTTCTGGCAGCGGCAGCTGCCGGCGGAGAAGTGGCGGCTGACTTCGACGGTACCCGAGGAGACTTCATTTTTGGCAGTGGCAGCTCTGGCAGAGAGTGGCGGCGAACTTTGATTCCGGTGGCAGTGGCAGGTCCGGCGAAGGATTGGGGGTGGGCTTCGATGGTTCCAGCAGTAGCTCGACTGCAATAGCTCCGGCGGCCGCATATGAGTGAAAGCTCTTGATTAGTGTTAGTGTTTTTAGTCAATTATATTTATCTAAATAGATCCAATGTTTTTTATATGCTCAATATTCTTTCAATGCATGTCCATTCTCAAAATTTCCTCTTATACGCGGTTGATGTTGTTAATCATTTAATTAATTGTCATTTGTTTGGATATAGTTTTTCGAAAATGCTCGAGGTTGTTTTGAGATACTCGATTTTTGACATTCTACATATATCTATTTTATGAAGAGTCGGATCTAAAATCGAGCTGATATTTATCTTTCATTCTATTTTCTTATTGTTTTTATCTTTTTTTCATTATTCGATGTTCCTATTCCTCTAATTTTAGTTTCGATCCGATTAGATCTAGTTTTTCAATCCGTCCAAGATTCTTGAGATGCACTCTAGGTTTGAAAACTTAAATCAATTACCCAAACATAAGATAGAAATTGTTGAAAGAGGATGAAAAGTCATTTTCTCATGGAATCTTCGAGGAGTAAGTTTGGTCCTAATTTCGTTCACAAGCTTGTAATTAGTTTCGTGATTTGCTTTGAGACAATTCATACTCTCGAAATATTTTTTTTCGTGACTTATTTCAAAAAAATTTAAACTCAGAGTATTTTCCGAGATTTATTTCAAGACAATTCAAACTCTTGAAGTAATTTTTGTGACTAATTTAGACAAATTTGACTATCGGTGGTATTTTAAAACAAATATATGACAATACATTGTCATAAAATCACATTCAAAATTATAGTCGAGATAAATTGTCGCAATAATGTGTTAAACAAATGTTGAAATACTAATTAAGTTGTCTCAAAAAAAAATATTTTGTGACATATGTAAGATTGTTTTGAAGTTTTGTTTTGTTTGTTTGTTTTTGTTTTTTTTTTTTTTTTGAGATAAATTAGTAGTATTTTCTTGGTAGTGTGAAATTTTAATAGAAAAATTACTATATGATAATCATTGACTTTTTAATTTATATTATGTATTATGGAGCACTATAATTTTGAAAATTTTCATCTCATGTATTTCTCTAAATCGTTTATGACATAAATCCATTGATAATAAAAATAAATAAATAGATTTCAAATAATTATAGTAGCATTTAATTTATAATTTTATAGTAAAACGAGAATAAAAAATGAAATCAATTGCACTGGTATAACACTCGTAATAATACAATGAAAACATATATATATATATATATATTTACAATTTCCTATCTATTTTATTATCCATTCTAATATTTTTTAGTAAGATTATATATTTTTAACAAAATATTATTTAAACAATAAAATTCACAAATCACACATATTTATATTATTTATTAATAAAGTACCAACCAAATGACAAATATATTAAAGAACAATATCTACTTACTAAACAATAATGAAAGAGGTTAACAAATAATTAAATTTACAATTAGTTTACCAATTATTAATTTTACAGCTAGCTCGTCTAACTATATTGTTATTTTAATTATTCAGTAAGTGCATTGATTTGAATTGCAATAAATTTACGGCTAGCTCACCAAATTATTTGTTAATTTTTTTTAGTAAGTGAAATAATTTGAATTATAATAAATTTACAGTTATCTCACAAAATTATATTGTTAATTTTTTTTAGTACGTCAAAATGATTTGAATTGCAATAAATTTACAGCTATCTCACAAAATTATATTGTTAATTTTTTTAGTAAGTAAAATGATTTGAATTGCAATAAATTTACAGCTAGCTCACCAAATTATATTGTTAATTTTTTTTAGTAAGTGAAATGATTCGAATGGTAATAAATCTACAGTTAGCCCACCAAATTATATTTTTATTTTTTTAGTAAGCGAAAGTAATAAATTTACCATTAGCTCACCAGATTATATTGTTATTTTTTTTTTTTTAAGTAAGTGAAATAATTTGAATTATTATAAATTTACAGTTAGCTCACTAAATTATATTGTTATTTTTTTTAGTAAGTAAAATAATTTGAATTGCAATAAATTTACAGTTAGCTCACCAAACCATATTGTTATTTTTATTTAGTAAGTGAAATGATATAAATTGCAATAAATTTTCCAATTAGGTAAAATTATAACTTTTTTAAAAGAAAAATCTGAAATAAATTGGGCAAAATTAGAACAGTATTCAAATCAAATATGCAGAAAAAGATAGGTAGTTGTATAGCACACTAGGAATATGTTTGGATATTTCAAATTGATTTATAAGCTATTCAACTTATTATTATTTTTTATTATATCTGATATTTATTTTTTATTTTAAATAATATATTCAATTAATGAGTAATTATTTTTATAAAAAATAACAATGAAAAATATATGTAATACTATTTTATTTTGTTTAAATTTTTTATAACAATGTGCCACATCATTAAATTTAAACTGACAAATTTATATTTCATCAACAAATTAATTGGATCACTAAACGACACATTTATAGTTTTTCATAAAAAATTAATTATATTATTAAATTATAAATTTATACTTGTGATTGACAAAAAAATTACATTATTAAATGAAAAAAAAATTATATTTTAGCGACAAATCTTTCATTCTTGTATTTTTATAATAGTTAGATAAAATATTATATATTTTTATTTATAAAAAATGTGAGAATTAAACAGCAAAAAAAAAAAAAAAAATGATAAATAACCTTAAAATTCAAACAAAATAAATATGAACAAAGATTCCCTTCATTTACACAGATTCCAAGGGATACACACCGTTCCTCTGACTGTCCTTATCAGCAACATATAAGTTAACAAACTGATTAATAAGTAAACCTAGTTATCGTATACCTCACCTACCCCTCTCTCTGATTGTCTTTAAATAATTCTCCAAATCAGCTTTAACAATTACACAGAATTACTCATACAATCATCATCGATCCAGAGGAAGAAGAATCTGCAAAATTGCTATCACTTGCTCAAATGGATAATCGCGAATCAATGGATGCTCCATCGACATTCGGGAGGATCAGCAACGTTCCTCCATCGGAGATAACTCCAGAGACGGGAAGAGTGGAGAGATTTCTCACAAGGCAGCAACGAGATAATATTGTTGCAACACATCAAGGTGATGTTTTAATTTTGTATATATATATATATTTTGTTTATGGGTTACAACTTCAAGTTGTTTGTTTATTGGCAACAATTCCAAGGGAGAAAATTTGATTTTTCTGACATCATTGCAGATTCTGAAATGGAGGGCGAGGATGTTCCCACTGCCATGATGACCGGATCTGACGATAAGGTGTTGATTAACAAATTACGAAAGTTAAAAAAATGAGATTCAATTAATTTCCATAATTAGATATTGAATGTGTTCTATGAACAACTTCTCAAATTAAATTTTTGTGGTTTGCAGGTAGATGAAAAGCTTCATTCAGATATTTATGCTCAAATTTTTGGACCTGAGCATACAGTCCCTGAATTCGACAGCCACTCCGACGGGGACGATGCCGACACCCACACAGAAGTGTGCGGGGGCATTGCAAGTCGGGTGAGATCTAGGAGGAGGACCAATACGGGCCCGCCGCCAGTTTATGTCGAGGATGAGTTGAGTGGCATGTCCGGCGACAACATCAAGAGCTCCTCCGAGGATGAAGACTTCACTGTGAGGAAGAGGAGGAAATCGACGAACAATAGAAGAGCTGACACTGCAGATGACAGCTCGCCTGCGGGGACTTCAGGGTGGCGCAGCATCAGACCTTCAAAACGAAGGGCTGCAGTGACCTCTCCTCGGAGGGTGTCAGAAAATGCACAAGCACGCCCCGCCTCGGACTCAAAAGCTGCACAGACCAGCAGAAACGGCGATGAGGGCAAAAAGATGCCGTATTGGCTCAAGGAGTTGACGAAATATATGACGGGGGCCAAAGCGAAGAAAGCGAAGCCACAGAAGATTGACATCTCCAAGATCCTAGAGGGATCTGTTCTCGGACGAGCGAGTGGGGCTGCTGATGGAGCTGCCGACTACCCGGCTCTTCCCAAGAAATTCCGGTTCGAAGACAATGTCGCGCCAGTGCCCGAAGAAGATCAAAGGGAAACTGAGTGGCGGAAGGGTATGGACGACTTGTTCCAAGAAATGGAATATAACTGCGCTGTGGAGCGAATGGGAACAATGACCAACCGTGGGGTAAGTTAATCACTTTCAGCACCTGTGTAGATTACTTTCTATATTCAAAAAATAGACAAAAACGACACAGATTGAGAACTAATTCGGCACTATTATTATTATTATTATTATTCAAAAAGCGATATGAGAACTAATAATCTAGTCACGACTTGCAGGTTGTTCAAGCTGAGGATGACGAGGAGGAAGAGGACACTCAGGAGCGCAGATGCGCCCGAGGTCTTCATGAGTTGATATTAGAGGACGACAAAGGATGGTATTGTCGCCACTGTCAACATGTGGCGATTCAACCAAGAGACGTACTTCCTCCGTGGGTAAGTAACATCAAAATTGCTACTTCTAATTTTAGGTTGATTTAAAATTTTTGCAGCTACCTTTTATATGACTTCTTCTTTCTTTTTTTGCAGGCGATGAAAGCTTATCGTGCTGGGGGAAAGAAGAAGAAGGAGGAGAAAAGGGAGGCTCTGGATCTCAGCACCATCAGTCTCCCGGTAGCAGATGCAGCTACTGTAAGCAGCAGCTGGACAAGCGGCTCAGTGTGGAGCATCGACGCTGGTGTGAGAGAAACACTGTATGAGCACCAGCAAGAGGGATTTGAGTTCCTATGGAGGAACTTGGCGGGCAGCACTGAACTTGCCGAGTTGAGGAACTCAAATCTACCGGGAGTTGGTGGATGCATTATTTCCCATGCACCAGGGACCGGAAAGACACGTCTGACGATTGTCTTCCTCCAGACGTATCTAAAGGTGTTTCCAAATTGCCTGCCGATGATCATCGTCCCAGCCAACATACTTGCTACTTGGGAAGGAGAGTTCAGAAGGTGGAACCCGGGCTTTAATTTCCACAACCTGAACAACTCGGCGTTGATCGGCGACGAGATTGCTGCTGCTGACCATCTGTTTCAAGGGGGGAGGATCAGACGTCGGGATATGGAGGCGATCAGAATGGTCAAAATGTACACGTGGCGGAGAGGGGGAGGTCTTCTGGGGATTAGCTACAACCTCTTCGAGAAGCTAACGGCGCAGAAAGAGGCGGAAGCAAATGCAGGCGAGGAGGGGGGGCAGAGAACGGGGGCTGAACAGAACTTGGAAGTTCTGAGATCAATACTTCTTGAGATTCCTGGACTAGTGATTCTCGACGAAGGTCATACTCCTCGTAACCACAGGAGTAAGATTTGGGCTTCACTAGTTCAGCTCAAGACGGAAAAGCGCGTCATCTTGTCCGGGACGCCGTTCCAGAACAACTTCGAGGAACTGTTCAACACCCTAAAGATCGTCAGGCCAGCAGTAGCGGAAGAGATTATGCAGGATCGGACGTTTGCCGAGATTCTGCATTCGGATAAGAGGGCCCAAAGCTCTCGGCCTGCTTTGCTTCCGGAAGCCATCAATCGTGCAGTTGAGAGGCTGAAAGTCGCCATGGCGCCGTTTGTGCACGTGCACAAGGGGACAGTCCTCCAGAATAATCTCCCCGGATTGAGAGACTCCATCATCCTCCTGAAACCGACTGGATTGCAGAAGCGACTGATCGACCGGTTGGAAGAGGAACGGGTAAGGAAAACACTTACGAGTGAGTTTGGATATTCACTGGTATCTGTTCATCCTTACCTCATCCAGAAATGCAAGTCGCAAGTGCCAACCGACGGGATCGATATGCAAGCAGTCGAGGAGTCGAAGCTCAATCCTGGTGATGGAGTCAAAACGAAATTCATCCTCGAGTTTGTCCGCCTCAGTACGCTGCTGAACGAAAAAGTGCTCATCTTCAGCCAGTACATTCCGCCCTTGGACCTGATCAAAGAGCACCTGACCGCGACCCTCCAGTGGAACGAAGGCAAGGAAATTCTGAGGCTGGAAGGGAGGCTACAGAAGAAGCAACGCCAGAATGTGATCGACGCATTCAACGATCCAGAAAATGATTCGAAGATCATGCTGGCGTCGACGAGGTGCTGCTCCGAGGGCATAAGTCTGGTTGGGGCTTCGAGGGTCATTTTGCTAGACGTCGTCTGGAACCCTTCAGTCCAACAGCAGGCGATTTGTCGAGCTTATAGGATTGGGCAAAAGAAGTTTGTCCATACCTATCATCTGATGACTGCTGGCACCATTGAGGCGGACAAATATTGCCGGCAAGCTGAGAAAGAGCGCCTATCGGAGTTAGTCTTCTGCTCTTCTTCGAACGAGGACACATCGAAGCAGCAGCTGCCGGAGATTGAGGATAAGATTCTCCAAGAGATGGTCGAGCATGCAATGACGAAGGATATATTTGAAAAGATCATCCACCAGCCGAAGAGCGCCGATTTGATCCAGTCCTTAGGCATGAAAGGTTGATAATATAAATTGTGTTGACTTAAAAGTTTTTGGCAAGAACAGATTGTTTGTGATTTTTTTGCTTGATTTCCCTCAAGAAACAAAATGTGATGGATTGTATAGTTTTTGAACAAGTTTGGAATTTTTTTTTTTTTTTTTTTATTTCTTTCATTTTTCGCTTATCAATTGGTACTTTTAGATTGTTCTATATCATAAACAAAATATAATGAATCGTAGTTTGTGTAGGTTTACGATGAATTTTGAAATGCAAAAACATGATACGAATGAATTATGATTTTGTAAATATTAAAGATATATATATTCTAAAATTTATTTGATATAATCTAACACATAGATTAAAATTCATTAACATAAAAAAAAATATATATGTGAAAAATAATAAAAATACATTTAGAAAGACAACAACAAATCATTCTTATTACATATAGACAACAATATTGTATACGACAAAGAACAACATAGTAACAATTCACACTCATAAAAATGAACAGCTCTGTTGAAAGACATTTACAATTATAATTATATATGAATAATGCACATATAACACCGCAAAAGGACAATCCAATAACACATATTTTTGGAAAAGCACGCCATATTTTCGGGACTTGCACCTTTACATAACATCTTTGAATTAATAGTCGTGCAACACGCATAACAACGGACCGAACATTCACTAAAATTCTACATTCGATTAAAAGGTCTTCGAAGAAAGGCCAAAGCTCTCGGCCTTCTTTGCCTCCCGAACCATCAAAGGCTCCATAGCCCGGACGTGCACGAAAGTGCTATCCTACAAAAAATCTCAATGGATTAAGAGACCGCGTCGTCCTTCTTAAACCAACTGAAATTGCAAAAGAAATTGATCGAAGGGGAAGGGTTTAGGAGAACCTTTAAGACTGATTTTGAAGTTTATCTAATATCTGTGCACCAACAGTTCATCCTCAGTGCAAACCAGTGGAATTGATATATATATATATATATATATATACTGATGTTAATAAACGCTGACATGATCTAAGATAAAATATAGGTTAAATGTTTCTCTAACATAATATAATATAACAGTTCATGTAAGAAAGGTAAATTGAAATAATCAGATGGCTGATTAAGGGTATGAAATATAAACAAGCAAGATTTCAATTAACATAATATGTGCTGAATTAATTGAAACTATGTTCTAATTGTTTATACTTTATAATGTGTGTTGTATGAAACTACGTATTAATTATATTATTATCCAAACAAATTATGTGTTAATCAACAAAAAAAAATTACTACATCATTAAATATAAAACTGAAACTTAATTGGTTATATTATAAATCGACAACTTTTTACATTAACCGTTACCACATCATTAAATTTAAAACAATCCGACAAATATCTCGACTCTCCCTATATGCACCGTGACGGAATCTCCAGCATCTCTGGTGGAGGAACTCTACCAATGCTCCGGGTCATCAATGGAGATGTCAATTGCCTTCTCTCAATTCTCATTGTAATGGCTTTGCCATTGCCCTCGAGCATTGACGGAGTATCTATTTATTTACGATTATCAATGAGGTAGAAACTAGAAACTAACTTATGCATCAAATATTTTATGTGCAAGAAGAAATTTAATTTTCACAATACTAAATTAATCTAAATGAAATAATTGCAGAAAATCATCAAAACAGCTCGTCTTTTTGAATATTTTTTTAACTTATCCAAAGGATACCATGTCAGATGCACATAATGACCGTCTCACCTAAAAGCTCAAGATATTAGAGAAATACAAAATTATTTTATTTAAACACAAACGAGAGTCCCAACATAGTCATTAAATACTTACGTTTGTCTCCTTTTTGGCCTTTTCTTTGTAGTATGGTTCTATTTTTATTATTTGTTGAGAAGTAAACATGTATTTAAAAAAAAAAATAATTGTGAAGATTGCATAATAAAAAAAAAAATGGCGTCAATAATAAAAAACATAGACTAAATCCTCAAGTTAATTTAATAATTCCCATCCCTCAGTATGCACAAGATCATGTAGTATCCGCACAACATTAGTAGCTTTGTTTTCTATGGAGTTGAGCTCTAGTTCGCCAATTTCCTTCCCCCTCTAATTTTTGCGGAATCAACACCAAATAATATTGTTGGCCAAAAAAGTAAATGATCAAATCCTCACAGCATTAAACTTCAAAAATATTGTTTGCTGGACAATCGAACTGGGAATGCACAGAGTGGTGAAGACAAGAATATAAAGCACAAAAAAATTGTTAACCCAGTTCGGTCATCAACGACCTACATTTGGAGGGTTCCAACCCAGGCAAGATTCACTATCAAAATCATTGAAGCACAGGGATATGTGGATACAATCGAGTTATACACTCAAGAAATCTATCTCACCTTTTCTTGATCATTCCCGGTTCTCAACCTATCTTCTATCTTCACTCTCTCAGTATTCAATTTTCTCTCACCATTTTCCCAGACAAAACACCCCGGACGTTTTCCCCAATAGCCATAGGTCACGTTCCACTGCAAATCTTGTATAACTAGTTAGATTCTCTTCAAATAGAAATTCTTCAAATGTTGAACGCGCCATCACAGGGAACACCATCAGCAACCAAGTAGGCCTTCACAACATTTAGGCCTAAATCGCAAAGGCTCAATAATTTTTTGTAGCCCATCCGAAGTCCAAACAATCTGCAAACATCAACCAATTTAATCGAAAAAATAACTAGCAACAAATATAAATCAAATCTAATGATTTTTACTCATGAAAATCTAGGACAATAATAAGAGAACGAGCAATTGATGATTGATAGATCAAAGGATAGTGTTGTTTTTACCATTCCAGCCGAGAATATGTTGCTAGTGCGAGATCCTCTCTCTAGAGCATCCAAGACGGCTACCGTGGCTCTTTCCTCACCCAACCCGTACTTCAAATGCACGGCACCACTACACACCGCTGCCAGGGGATTCGCTTTGTCCTGAATGTAAGTATGTATGTAGTATATGCATTGTTGTGCCAAAAATTCATTAGTTTAAGTTCTAAAATAAATGTATGACAGCATCAAACAAACCTGACCGGCAATGTCAGGAGCAGAACCATGTATCGGTTCGAATATTCCAGGCCCCTACACAACAATGCCTCGACCATTAATATTTAATAAGAAGGGAAGGGATACGGATTTCTTTGGAAGGACTAACGTACGGCGTACCGTTTCACCCGGGCTTGCAGATGGCAATGCTTCCCGAATTTTTACATGCTTGATCAGAACAGATATTCCCAAATATATTGTTTGTGAGAATCACATCGAACTGCATGATAATGTGCCAAACTGTTAATAGTTCATTTATTCATATTATGAAGCTAATGTTATGGTGCAAATGCAAGTCCTACATCAGAAAATTTGAAGAAAAATCTATACCTTGTAAGTCCACATGAACTTCACTAGTATAAGGTCTTTTAGAAGAAGTCCAAAAAAAAATCCCTATCAAATTTTTAGGCCGTTTTCTGGCCATTTCAAATGCAAACGAGCAATGCGATCAACCTGAAAAAGCATAGAAGTTTATATCAATCATATAAATCTATACAAATGGTCAAAAAAAGTATTCCAAAATTCATCAAAAGATAGTAAAAATTTGCATAATAAAAAGATTTGGGCCTCAAGAACATAAAACATAGAGTAAATCCTGAAGTTAACTTAATAGTTCCCATCCCTCAGCATGCACAAGATCATGTAGTATTGGGAGAATCGGTTTCACACAGCATCGGTAGTTTTGCTTTCTATGGACTAGTTCGCCCATTTCCTTCCCCTCGGCTAATTCCTGTGCAATCGGCACCAAATAATATAAATCAAATCTAATGATTTTTACACATGAAAATCTAGGACATAAAATAATAATAAGAGAGCCATCAAAGGATTGTGTTGTTTTCACCATTCCGGCCGAGAACATGTCGCCAGTGCGATATCCTCTATCTATCTAGAACATCTAAGACGGCTACCTCAATTCTTTGCGCTGCTCTTTTCTCACCCAGCCCGTACTTCAAAAGCATGGCAGCACTACGCACCGTGGCCTAAATGCATGCTGCCATAGAAACTCGGACAAATGTTTTGAAACCAAAACTTCCTTTCTGACTTGAACTAGGCAATTGTTTGAGGCAGCCCAAACCAAATTGCAAATGGGAAATGCAGTTAATGATTGTGAAGTGCAAAAAAAATTATATGAATGTTAAGATACTTCTTGCAAATGATACAAACTTGAAGATAAACAATCCATCATAATATTACCTCTAAAACATTAGCTAGCTTTGTCAAAAAGAATACAGTTCCTTACGCCGTTTTCTGGCCATTTCATATGCAAGACGAGCAATGCATCAACCTGAAAAAACATACAAGTAAAAGGAGTTTAAATCAATGCTAGTGCAAACCAAGAGCAATATCTGAATAGCAATTGGTCAGAAAATGGGGGGAAAAATCTGAATTTCATCATATAAATCTATACAAATGATCGAAAAAAAATATTCCAAACAAACAATAAAAACCTATGCGAGCCAGAAAGTAACCTCAAACAAACAAACAATTCAAAGATCACAAAATCATCAACCAAACAGTTCACAAACAAAAATGAATCAATCAACTCATGAATCCGTTTCTTCACAAACACTTTCACTGATCCAACACAAACGTACGTACCTTTATACTCCCAGGAATCGAACACTCTCAAGTCAACCTCTGAGTCCTAAGGACTGGATCAAGTCGGCATTCTTCGGCTGGTGGATGATCTTTTCAAACATATCTTTCGTCTTCGCGTGCTGGACCATCTCCTCAAGAATCCTGTCCTCAATCCCTGCCATGGGCTGCTTTGATACGGCCTTCTCGTTCGAAGAAGAGCAGAACACCAATTCTGATATCCTCTCTTTCTCAGCCTGCCGGCAATATTTGTCCGCCTCAGCCGTGCCAGCAGTCATAAGATGATAGCTGTGGACAAACTTCTTTTGCCCAATCCTATAAGCCCGACAGATTGCCTGCTGCTCGACTGATGGATTCCAGACGACATCAAGCAGAATGACCCTCGAAGCGCCAACCAGGCTTATGCCCTCACAGCAACACCTTATTGACGCCAGCATGATCTTCGAATCGTTGTCTGGATCATTGAATGCATTGATCGCTTTCTGCCGTTGCTTCTTGTCTAGCTTCCCATCCAGCTTCAGAATTTCCTTCCCGGCATGCCAATCGAACTTCATGGACAGATACTCTTTGATCAGCTCCAAGGGCGGAATGTACTGGCTGAAGATCAGCACTTTTTCATTCAGCAGAGTACTGAGGCGGACAAACTCGATGATGAATTTTGTTTTGACTCCATCGCCAGGACTGAGCTTTGATGCCTCGACAGCTTTCATATCAATTTCATCGGTTGGCACTTGCGACTTGCATTTATTGACGAGGTAAGGGTGAGTAGATACCAACGAATATCCAAATTCATTATTAATTGTTCTACTTAACCGTTCCCCCTCCAACTTGTCGATCAGATTCTTTTGCAACCCAGTCGGCTTCAGGAGGATGACAGAATCTCTTAATCCGGGGAGATTCTCTTGCAGGACAGTTCCCTTGTACACGTGCACAAACTGCGACATGGAGACTTTAAGCCTCTCCACTGCACGATCAATGGCTTGGGGAAGCAAAGCAGGCCGAGAGCTTTGTCTTCTCTTATCTGACTGCAGAATTTCAGCAAATGTCCGATCCTGCATAAACGATTCTGCTACTGTCGGCCTTACTATCTTTAAGGTGTTGAACAGCTCTTCGAAGCTGTTTTGGAATGGCGTCCCGGACAAGATGACACGCCTTTCTGTCTTGAGCTGAACCAGTGAAGCCCAAAGCTTACTCCTGTTGTTACGAGGAGTATGGCCTTCATCAAGAATCGCGAGTTCAGGCAGCTCACGAAGTGTCGACCTCAGAACTTCCAAGTTCTGTTCAGAAACTGTTCTCTGCCCCTCCTCCTCCCCTGCATTTGCTTCCCCCTCTTTCTGCGCCGTTAGCTTCTCAAAAAGGTTGTAGCTAATCCCCAAAAGACCTCCCCCTCTCTTCCAGGTATATATTTTAACCATCCGGATTGCCTCCAAATCCCGACATGTGATCCTCGCTCCGTGAAAGAGATGGTCAGCAGCCGCCCTCTCGTCGCCAATGAATGCCAGATTGTTCAGGTTGTGGAAATTAAACCCGGCATTCCACCTTCTGAACTCTGCTTCCCAGGTGCCAAGTATGTTGGCTGGGACGATGATGATCGGCAGGCAGTTTGGAAACATCTTTAGATACGCCTCGAGGAATACAATCGTCAGACGTGTCTTTCCAGTCCCTGGTGCATGAGAAATGATGCATCCGCCCACTCCAGGTGGATTTGAGTTCTTCAACTCGGCAATGTCAGTACTGCCTGCCAAGTTTTTCCAGAGGAACTCAAATCCTTCTTGCTGGTGTTCGTACATACTTTCCCGCACACCAGCTGTGATGCTCCAAACTGAGCCGCTAGTCCAGCTGCTTACATCAGCTGCATCCGGTATAGGGAGACTAACGGCACTGAGATCTAGACTCTCCCCTTTCCCCTGTTTCTTCTTCTTTCCTGAAGCACGATGAGCTTTGATCGCCTGCAAAACGAAGAGAGAAGAAGTTGTATAAACGGGGGTAGCTGCACACTTTTTAAATCACCCTAAAATTGCACTGAACTACTTTCAGATAACAGATTAGGGAGAAAAGATAAATTAAAAGGAACAATTTTAGTTCTTTAAGGAAGCAATCGATATATACTTACCCACGGAGGAATTACATCCCTCGGATGAATCTCCACATGCTGACAGTAGATACAATATAGTCCATGGTTGTCTTCTAATGTCAACAAATGGAGCCCTCGGGCACATCTGCGCTCCTGAGTGTCTTCCTCCTCCTCCTCGTCCAGATGAACAACCTGCATCATCGTTAGTGCTGAATCAGTTCTCAATCCGTACATGCCAAATCAGTTATTGTCTAAATATTCTTTTAATATAGAAATTAGTCTACACAAGTGTTGAAAATAAATGAGTTACCTCACTGCTGGTAATCGTTCCCACTTCTTCCGCAGCGCAGTTGAAGTTCAACTCCTCAAGAAGGTCGTCCACCTCCTTCGTCACCTCAGCTTCTCTCTGGTCCTCTTCTGTCGGTGGCACGACATCTTCTTCAAACCTGAACTTCTTTGGAAGATCAGGGTAGTCGTCAGCTCCATTTGCAGTCCCACTCCCTTCGCCGGTATGCATTGTCCGAGATGGTGGTCTAAGAAAGGATTCTTCTAGGAACTTTTTGATGTCAAATCGTTTGGGCTTCTTCTTCTTGGCTTTGGCCCCAGTCATGAATTTGGTCATCTCCTGAAGCCAATATGGCATGTCATCCCCACCACCGCTGTTTCTGCTAGTCTGCGGAGCTTTGGAACTCTTAGCTTTTGAGACTGAGACTCCACCCGCTGGCTCCAATCTGTGTACTTCGTCTGCACAGATCTCTGATAGCCTCCTCTGCTTCGTCTTCCTCTGAAGAGAGGTCACTGCAGCCTTCCCCTTCCGTTTTGGAGTTGCGATTTTGCGCTGCCCTGAGGCCTCCTCCTCCACAGGCTCTGCAGTGTCGACTCTTCTTTTCTCAATTTTCACTTTTCGCCTCTTCCTCAGAGTGAAGTCTTCGTCGCCAGACAGTCCATCCACAACATAAATTGAGGACAGGTGCATATTGATCCTCCTTGTAGATCGAACCTGGCCTCCAATGCCACTGTCAGCAGCATTAATGTCGTCACTCGCTACCCGCAAATCTCCAACATCTTCTGGGGCAGCCATCATACAGGATGAGGAGGGACTATCAGAATTATCCTTGCTCGAGTCGCAAACTAGTTCAGGGACTTTACAATCATCACCAAAAATTCGAGCGTGAGTATGAGCTTGATTCCTTAAATGCTCCAAAATTTCTTCAAATTCTTCCTCAGAAGGCTGCATCTTGTACATGTTGCCTTTCTTCTCCGGCACTTTCCTTTCATTTTCATTTTCTGTCCCTGAGCAAAGAGACACAAATATGAGAATGTCAATCATTGATAACTTTCAAATGTTAGAGTTTTCTTAGGTCAGCCATTACCTTCATCATCTACCTCTTCAGAGCTATCGAAATAAATGTTGTCAACCTACAAAAGCAAAAGAAAATTGCAGATAAGACGATGTTTATAGTTCTTAAAATGGAAGCAGTATAACTTCAAAATCCATATACTTACCCTCGAGCTCAAAACTTGATATGCATCAAGCTCCACATGACCACAAGACGTACAAATTAATCCTCGGCTGCCCATATAGGACAGGGTATGATTCCCGTCGGCACATCTTTCAGTTTGAGCTGCGAAAAGCTCTTCATCAACCTGCTGGCCATGGACGTTCAGTTTCAGTATTTAATTAAAGATTAGAAATGCATATTTAGTGAAGATATTGTTCACGGGAGGTATTCAATAACAAATGGGAATTAATAGAATTGTTGGCACCTTATCGTCCAATCCAGATGTCATGGGAAGATCATCGTCCATCTCGAGTTGGTCATCACATCCTGTCGTATCAAGAACATGATCGCTCTCAGCCATTTCAGAATCTGCAACCACATTGCAGAAATCATAACATTACTTTTTTTTCTCCCTTGAAGTTGTTAGTGATAAGCAAACAAGAAAAGCTGAAGTTAAAACATCACCTCCTAATAAATGCTCGGACATATCAGCAATATCATTTCGAGTTTCTTTGGTCACTACAGGTTCCGCCTCCCGCAGCGGCATATCTCTCACAGGCTCAACCCCATCGACCATCGGTGGTGTTGGGTAGTTATGGGTCACTTCATCCCTGTCAAGCAGCCCCAAGTTCAAATGTACAAGAGAGACTTTTCTCTCGAACTTCATATCCGCTGCAAGAATCCTCCCGATGTCCCATGAACACGTCAATTCCCCTCGGTCATTCTCCTCGACCCTAGACGGAGAATCCATTCTCTCGTCTCTAACCACAATAGCTCCATCGTGCGTTCCCATTGTCGATTCGGGGCTTAGTATGTTATCTGTTAGTTCAAATGTACCATTTGTTTTAGCTAATTTGAACTCAATTGAAATAATGTTAATGCACACTTTGATTAGCATAGGTGAGAATTTAGGAATTACTGAGATAAATTTTTTTTATTTTATTTTTGTAAGAATAGTTGTATCGGACATTATGTTTGAAATAAATAAAAAAAATAAATTAACAGAAAATTTTTATAAAAAGATATGCTCCATTTTTATTTTTATTTTTTGTATGAATAATAATACTAACATTTGGTTTTTCACAATAGATGATTGCAAAAAAAAGACAAATAAACATGCAAGATATTCAAACATTATTTAATAAATAACAAAAAATAAAACGACAATCAAAAGTATTTATCTCATTTGCAAAAATATAGGATAAACGTAGTGATAATGCGATATAAGTGTGGAATATCTTTTTCCAATTTTCTTTATATAAATTTATGGTTAACTCAAATTGTTGAAAAGACAAATAGAATATTTTATTTTAGAAATATTCTAAATTTAATTTATACAAAATATATATTCTATAGACAAAATAAGTTATCAAATATCATATAAAAGTTATGATTATCATATGATAAAAAATATATATATTTAATCTTTGTCCACATAAACATAAGTCCGGTAAATAATAAATAACTAAAATAATTTTATAAATTTTCACATTATATTATTAACAAGCAAATATTTTCATTGTTTCCTGAAATAATATCCTACATAAAAATATAATGTATTATGGTTTACAATACTATATTAACAGGATATAAATTAAAATTCAAAATTTTCATTAAGTTTGACTATACTTTGATTAGACACACGTGGACCCTATAAAACCCAACACAGGGATGTCTAGCATATCTTTTTTTCAATTTAAACTATACTTCAAGATTTGAACTTAGACTTGATAAACTTAATATTTTAAATTTTTTTTATAAAAAAATATTTATCAAATTCAAATATAAAATATTAAAATATTGTAAATATAAATTCAAAATTTACGTATTAAAAACCAATTAACAATAGGTACAATAGCTTCAAACTCTATAACATAAAATCACGATTATCCATTGTTTAATCCTAAACCCAAGCTCAACACAAAAGTTATATTTGCTGTTCAATCTTCTTCTTAAATAATTAGACTTTACTGCAATTAAAATACTGAAGTCCACATTAGATATGCCATATATTATAAACTTATTGGCATCCCTCCAAAGATTGAAAATTTCTAGTATAAGCAATCAAAATGATTTAATGAAATATCTTCATATGCATATTTAATAAAAAAATTTCCAAAAAAAAAAAAAAAAAAAAATAGAGAGAAAGAAAGAGAGAAAATCCTCCAGCTGAAATGATGATTGTTAGATAATTCCCATTAAGTAATGCATATGCAAGAATAATAGCAAATTCCTAAATTGAGCATGGCATACGTCTTGAGAAATGTTTGCAAGAATATACTTAGTAATAATGACGTAATGAAACTTATGCTTTTAAAATGTTAACACCTACCTCCGGTCAAAGAATGTGATTGGATTCTTCTCCTCAGTTGATTATCTGCGTCATTATAAGAAGTGGATGGTCCATCTTGACCACTAGAAGTATATACAACCAACTGATGTTCACTTTGAGCATCGTTTGGCGATGATGATCTTCTCTCTCTTTGGTAACTCATTGGTTGACGATTATCCTATATAATGAAGTAAAGATAGTTAAAAATAATTTAATTTTTCGTGATTAGTACAAGGTAACAAAAAATTCATAATACTCAAAAAGTATAAAAATATTAAATGAATGTCTCAGTCTTTTCTTTAGACCCCATTCAATATGGACTGTTGAAAGTTAACAACATGATGCAAATAAAAAATTATTTCGAACAAAATGTACTCTCCAATGCCAAATATATAAATATACTCTTTATTACACGTAAGCAAGTATCAAACTATCTAAATAATGAAGTTTTAAATGTAGAGTGAAGCTCCTGTTTGAAATTGCAATGTTTTTAAAATCACTATGCCTTTGAAATACAAATTTAGACTTCCTTAAACCATTTTTCCTTTTTGTTTTGAGGATTTCACGACTATTATTTTTTCTTTACCAATTGAATCCAATGGTAGAATTCTAAAAGAACAGATGATTATGAGGTCATAAAAAAAATAATAATAATTTTCACACCATCAAATTCATGTAAGCAAATATGTTTATATCAATCCATCAAATCTATCCAATCAAAGCTGATTGACGAGAGAAAGAATCATCATATATACTATTGACATGCACCGGTAACACTTTAATCTTCATATAAGACACAAGTCATTTCATTGTAATATTAGTTTAAAAACACTGATTATTAAATTAATGTGTTTTTAGTCGCCCCAAATAATCAACAAACAAAATTCTTAAAAATACATAACATGTTTCCTCTCTTTTTTATTATTGTCTACAGCCAATATACAAAATAAATTCTTGAAATTTGAATTTCTGTGGAGCTTTATTCTCTAGATAAATTATATGTCTCCTATGTGGTACCAATGATATCTAAGAAATATTAGTTTCTTTCTAAGAAAAAGAACATCCTATTTTTAAAAAAATAAAAATTATTATGTAGGATATAGGAGAGATAAAGCTACTCTAAATTAAAAGAACCTAATTGTATATAATGTTATTATATGGTATTTTTTGGAAAATAATAATAATAATATTTTTTAAAAAAAATTAAGGGATTAAGCACAATGAATCCAAGCGCAGTGATACTTATTACAGAAGCTCCCCAAAACCCATCAAAGCAATAGTATTTTATGAAATTTTAAATAAAAATAAAATGAAAAAACATCTTTACCATTTTGTAGAATTTAAAATCTAGGCAAATGATAGGAATTTGTCGTGTCTTTCTTCGACCTTCGAACTTGCCTTAAAAATACTGTAGAATTGGAATGTTTTTTACAAGTATCGAGTTGATAAAAATGACAATAAAAATCAATAAAATATCTTCTTTATTTTCACAATCTCATTGATTTGAGTTTTTTTGTTAAACATCTAGTGTACCGAGAAAAAAAAAAAAACTCAAGCGTATCAAGAAACCAGATCTAATCAATGAAACGTCAAGTATATTGATAAAATTTTGAGTGTACCAAAAATCGAAAGAGAAAAATAATTTTGATTTTTGTTTCAACATCGAGTAAATTAATAAAACTTTGAGTGTATCGAAAACCTAGATCTAGTTAAATCATAGCTTAAACTTGATGAATAACATAATCAACAATGCATCAAAGTAAAATGAGAATTCAATAAGAATAGATTGATAAAAGAAACATCACCTTGGATTTAATTAGATCTTGCTCTCCAAGTAATGGATCTAAAATGCGAGATCTCAGAATTCTCGACTACTCAATTATGTAGAGGGAAAAAACAAGATTATATGACTTTGTTCTAAATTATGATTGGAAATCCACAATATCATCTAATCGAGAAGGAAATAAATGATTACGATTATTTCGTCAAACCTCGAGTGTATCGAAAGAACCTCGAGTGTATCGAAATAATCTCAGAGTATTTCAAAAAAAAGTAAATTAAATCTAATTGTACTTAAATCTAAATGAGTAACAATATAGACAATATATCAAGAGAGAAGGAATATGAGAATAGAGACAACACCTTCGAATTTAGATTTGGCTCTTCAAATAATAGATGTAGAATGAGATATCTTTTAATTCTTTGAGTACTCAATTATAAATTTATGACATGTGCGCGGTTTGCTTTTATAAAGAAACAAAATAATATTTTGTTAATATTGTCAAATTATATATATATAAAAAAAAAATACCTCCACAAATTATTAATTCAACGCAATAATTTTAATGTTAATTAAACAAAAGTCATCTCTTAAAGATATTTTTTATAATCACCATCTGATAATTATTTGGTAAATATTTTTTTTCCGAGTTATAAAAAAGAAAGAAGTGTATGAAAAATGTACCAATCATCAAAAACAAATACATCCTCAACACTTTTTCAAGAAATTGCAAAGAAAAATAAATATACCAAACAAAATAAATACTTACAATTTGGTAAAAATTGGACTTCTTCATCTTGCAAAATTTCTTCAAGAAAACTGCATACATGGAATAAATTTCACAAATTGTGAAAATCATTTGGCTGATAAAGAGACAACAAAATTTTGAGTTATTGTCAAATTTCAAGTATATCAAAAATTTAGATCCACTTGAACCATAGCTAAAAACTTAAGAAAAACAACATCAACAATGAATCAAAGGAGAAATAAGAATGCATGTAAGAATAGACTGAAAAAAAAAAAAAAAAAAAAAAAAAAAAAAAAAAAAAGAAAAGAAACATAAAGTCACTCTCCAAATAATGGATGTAAAATGCAAAATCTCTAAATTGTCGACCACTCAAACTCTTCGAAATAATTGAGTTTTACCAACCTCGAGTATACTGAAAAAATTTAAAGTGTATTGAACTTAGATCCAATTGAATTATAGCTAAAAACTAAATGAATAATACTACCAACAATGTATCGAATTCTCGACTACTCAATTCCTCGAAATAATTTTGAGTTTTTGGAAATCCTCGAGCATATTGAAAACTTAGATCTAGTTGAATTGTAGCTAAAAATTGAATGAATAACAATATCAACAGTGTATTGAATTCTCGACTACTCAATTCTTTGAAATAATTTTGAGTTTTTGTCCGACCTTGAATATATCAAAAAAAAAAAACCTCGAGTATATCGAAAACGTAGATCCAGATTAATTGTAGCTAAAAATTGAATAAATAACAATATAAAAAATACATCAAAGGAGAAATAAGAACGCATATGAGAATAGATTGAAAAAGAAACATAACCCTTGTGCTAAGATGTCACTCTCTAAATAATGGATTTAAATGTGAGATCTATTTCTCGACTACTCAATTATGTAGAGAAAAAATAATATGATATCACTTTGTTAAAAATT